CAGTCAAGTCAAAATTTGTAAAAATTTGTTACCATGTCGTGTACAGCTTCAAATTTAAGTGCTATTCTTTGACATATTCCTACATTCTCATCAATTTAGATGGAATCCTTGTCCCTATGACCTCTAGCCTCTAGGTTGTCTTTTGATTGATGGTTAATACACAGTTCCCTGTTTCTACCACAAGAGCTTCCTTTGAATAAAAAACTAGAACCCAAAAGATCATAAAAAACTGATGAACTAGACTTTCAAAGCAAAAGATCATCTCCAAAACATATGATTCAAGTTCTTTGATGCTTGTTTGGAAAGGACACGCCAGCCTAGTACCAAAGAGGAGAACCATTGGATCCAGTGGTGGTACTTCTCCTTAAATAAATAAATAAAACTCATAATTTAAAAAAATCTACGATCAACGTGCTATGTAAACAAGCAAGAGAGAATAGCAAATGAAGCAGGCTAAAGGATCAGAAATTTAAAGCTTGTTTTCTTACTGATTTAGAAGTTTCCGCTTTGCAGGATCAGAGAAAACAATTTGACCTAGTTTTCGCCTATCAATTTCACCATTAACTTGTAGAATGTCCTCTCCAAAAGCTGAAACAACTTTTTTCCAGCCGCCAGTTCCTTTCTCTACCACATCCTGAAGATGTTTAAAAAATGAAAAGCAGGTTATAGGATCCATACAATGTGAAGGCACATTAGTAGAACTATTCTCATTTGTTCAAACTATTGTGGTTTCATTCATTTCAAATTTAAGTCATGATTTATAATATTGACTAACATACTATCCCTCTAAAATAATGGCAAAATAATCCAGAATCCCTTTTATTTTCATTGTATATTATACATCGGAAGGATGGCCGAGATGCTTTTATGTCTTTAAAAAAAGGACAAACATACACGAGCAATGAGGTCAGCATCAACTATAGGAATGCCATGGGCCTTGAAGAGGTTGGACACAGTGCTCTTCCCCGACGAAATCCCACCAGTCAAACCTACCATTCTCATTCTTCCTTTATCTGCAAATTAAAGACTGTTTAGTTATTTATATAACTCAACATAATTATTTTATATGGTGTTTGGGAAAAAACTCTCATTCACTGCCTTATCAGAGGTAAAAAGCTTCTTTTCTTCAAATACTGGCCTCAAGAATTATCAAAAATTACTGCTTTTAAAAGAAAAGATGGAAATTAGACTCAGCCATTGATTATAAACAATGTTCTCTCACCAAGAGCGAGATATGATTTTTTTTAATAAGAAATCAAACTTTCATTGAGAGAAATGAAAAGATATACTCATACAAAAACATCCTGACCAAAGAACACCCCTTAGAGAAAGGGGCTCCAGAGCGAGGTATGATTTTGCTACTCCGCACATAATCTACCAACTTTTGCCAAATCGATTACCAACTTTTTTGTGCATAGATGGTGTGGTAGCCAGTCTTGAAAGTTTCACAGTGAAGGTCACTGGCATAGAGTTCGTAAATTTTAGAAAGTGCTCTCGCAAATTCTTAGAATGAGAGATTTTTTTTGGTTCAATTTTGCGGAAGACTCCTCCAAAAGGGCCAAAGATAATGGTTTGTTTGAGAAAACAAAGTGGGAGTTAAGACATTAGTACAATGAACATAATATCATGGCAAAGATAATATTTCTATTGTGTCAAAATTAGTTTTTGCTACCTATCTCTTTTTATTTAAAAAGTTATTAGTAGATTTTTTCTTCATCAAAAAGTTATTTCATTGTTTTGTAGCTTGAAAATATGGTTAAAGAGTATAAAGAAAAACAAATACACCTTATGAATCATTAACATCGAACTAGACTCTTACAAAAAAATCATGAAAACTAGACTGATTCAAATGGTAAGCGAATCCTTTAGACTTTGATCTCATACAAAATTGTTGCTAATTTTCCCTCTTTGGCTTTTCAACCAATTCCTTGCAATATTGAATCAAATTCTCAAGTGGGAAAAGAGCATTGCTGATATAACTTCCTGCACATACTCTAATGAATAAACCATCATTTTTTTTTTATATCCGTGAGTGTCTGGACCAACTTACGCACACCTCGACTAATCTCATGGAGCAACCGCCTGACCCTACAACATTTGGTGTAGGGAAACACAAAGAAATTACTAATTCTTAAGGTAGGTGGCCATCAATGGGGTTTAAACTCATTTCCTCTTAATTAACTCTAACCCCTTTGAACCAATGAGCCACCTATGATGGTTATGAATAAACCATCATTAAAAAGCGCTTTATTCTATGATGGAGATTAAAATCAGAGAACGTATCATGCCCAGGATTGTAATGGAAGAGAACTTTTTCACAGAACATAGGGATGGCTATGATAACCCAACCTCACTGCTGAGAATTTGTTTGCAAGTAATGTAATGCCAATAATGACAATAACCAGACTTCACAGCCCAAGTCAAAGGTTTTGCCAACTCATATGACACCTCCAGAAACTGTCACAACATAGTTGCAATATAGATCTGCTGCTAACCAACGAGTTGATCGTACTCTTCTTTGAACCATACGAGCATGTCCCCACCCCCACCACACTAACGATTCTTTACCCTAACTTAACTAGTTCTAGCTCCCGGTCTTCCCTTTCTATTCCTCGGTAAGCAGACCGAGGAACTAATTGTGATATTTTGGAGATATTATTGAGGGACTAAAACAATGTGGCTAGCAATTTTGAACAATTAGATGTAAAACTGTAGTTAGACCCTACGTCTAATAATCAGGAAGGGAGCAAATAAGATTTTTGATGGAGAAGTTTATAAGAAATGGAAACTTGTTTCTCAGACCACCTTAGCTTTTCCTCTGTAAATTATTTTAAGATTAAATTCGTATACTTCACTTATTAACATCAAAGAATTCCATACTCAAAACAAGAATGCATACATACGAACTACTTAAAATCAAACAAAGGTTAGCACAACTCGAGTAAGCAAACTCAGCAACACAAAATAAAGAGAGTAATTAAATGAAACAACAGTAGCCAAAATAGAAATCTAACAAAAGACATCAAATGAAATCGGAAACAAATTGGAAAAAGAAAGCGTGTAGAATTGTTACCCCTTCGCCAGATCTGCCACAAACCAAATTATGGAGGGATTGCGTTCTTATTTTGTGTTCTTGGCTAGTGGGTATGAGAAGGAGGGAGAATTTCAGTGTGCCGGCGATTGAAATTTCTGGTAGCGTAAACAAGAGGGAAAGAGAATGGATTCTTACGCTCTCTTCAGGTGGCTGCTGATCGCGATTGAGAGACAAAAATCCCAGAGAGGGTAATTGATTTGCTCCGAAATTTTGGTGAGGGTCGTTGTGTGGCTGAAGAACAAATTAGTTTTTTTCCTTTTTTTTTTCTTCGACGGAGCGCCGGCGCCGATTGGATTGCCGAGTTTTTTTTTTTTCTTTGGTTTAAATTAGGAGTTTAGTATATGTGTCTAGTGAATTTTAAAAATGGAATTTAACAGTTTTCAACTATCAATTTGTGTAATCAAAACCGAGCAGCGATCATAATTTAAGTTACTAAAAAAAAAAAAAAAGAACTATCAATTTGTATATCTATTTATACTTTAAAGTGGATACAATAAACTTTTAATTCTATATATTTTCTTTTCTTTTTTTATATTTCTTAACGTTTAGACCAATTTTGTGCACGTGTCTCGTAAATATTTTGAATTTTGAATTTTATATTTAATAAATCTGTTAAGTTATGAAAAAAAAAAAGTAAATTAATCAATATTTTAAAAAATTCACAAACTTTATTAGGTATAAAATTGAAAGTTTAGACTTCAATTTTATGTTCTCTATTAACTATAAAATTAATAAAAATGTCAAAATATGTCACTGACCAGTTCACTATTAGATATAAAATTGAAAATTAGAAAACTGTTTAGTAACTTGTTTAAGTTTAGAAACTTATTGAACACAAAATTGCAGTTTTGAGACTAAATTTATAATTTAACCTTTTTTTAGTGTTCAACAATTGTAAGGGTGGAAAATTGAAGCATCGACTTTTAAAATGGTAACAAGTGTTTTATGTACAAAGCTATCAAATCGAACCATTCATTTTTTTCTTTTCTTTTCTTTTTCAGCTCAATCAAAATAAGGATTCGTTATGAGGTAAATTATGTCTTAGCATTTTTTTTATGTAAATGTCTTTGCTAGTTAAACTATACTCAATTGAGTGATCTTTTAATGTTGAATATGGCAGGTCTTGAACTTTGAAAACTATCAAGTAGGTCTCTGAAATTTTAATTGTGTATCTAATAGGTCTAAAATTATTAGATCATTTTCTAAATTCAAAAAACTATTAAACACGCAACTTTTCGATTTTGTGATAATAAATTCTTGACTTTTTTGAACAATTGTCGAGTTTGTCAAAAACTTATTAAACACAAAATTGAAAGTTTGGAGATTTATTGGACATTTTTTCAAGTTCAAGAGTTTATTAAATACTTTTTGAAATTTAAAAATTTATTGGACACAACTTTCAAAGTTTTTAGACTAAACTTCTATCAACTAACTTAATTCAGCCGGTTAAAACACCTAATTTCCACCAAAAAATCATGAGTTTGAATCTCCACCCTCACATATCGTATTTGAAAAATAAACTATTTTTAAATAAGTTAAAATATTATTTTGATCCTTGTAATTTCAACCAGGATTTATTTTAATCTCTATACTTTCAAGATGTCCATTTTAATTCTCATTCTTTTTCATTTTAGTTTCTATACTTTCAAAATATTCGTTTTGGTCACTGTACTTTTAAAAAGTGATCATTAGTCTCTTAATTTTATTTATAATTTCATTCATTCTATCACAATTTCAATATAATACTACATTCAATAATTTTTATAATTAACAATAAATAAGAAATAATTATGCTAGTAATTCTTATATACCTTATTCATATTCTAATTCCAAACAATTTTAGTAAACAACACTAAAACAACACCAAAAGTTTAGTAAACAACGTCAAATTAACATTTCATTTCATTTTCCAAGTGATTTTCATTCTAATTGTCTCAATTTCCAACTCTTTGGAAGTGAATGGGGCTTAAATTTTATCTCACTACCAAATCTAAAATTTAAAATAACCATACCTACTCTATTTGAGTCGGCTTGGTTTGGTTTGGTTTATTGAACTAATTCAATTTTTGCACCCCAAAAATGTCCACGAAATAGAGCATCATCACTATGAAACCCATGAAAAGAGAAAGTAACAATTTAGCTCCCATAGTTGTAAATTTATAACAATTTAGTAGCTAAATTTTAATATTTTACAGTTTAATCTTTATAATTTAAATTTGTAACGATTTAATTCTTATCGTGAAAAATGTTACTAAAATTTAATATTGTTTCTTATATATATAGATTGATAAAATGAACCAGAACCAAATGTGTTAATAAACTACAAAGATTAAATGGCACATAATAAAAATCCACACTTAATTTTGATAAGATATTTTACGAAAGATACTAAATTGTTACAAATTTTAAATTATAAAGGCTAAATTGTTACAAATTTTAAATTATATGGACTAAATTGTTTCATACTAAGTTTCGAGACTAAATTGTTATAAATTTGAAAATAAAATGATAAAACCGTTGCAAATTAAAGTTCAAAGACCTAAATTAATTTAGGTCAATGAAAATAGAACAAAAAATGTTTTTTAACATTTTAATACCAGAACTAAAGAATGTGGGCTTATAGGTATAAACAAAATGAGAAATATCTTACATTGGTTTTAGACTAATCAGGCCAATCTGCAACATTCTTTCTTCCAAGGAGATATCAAGTGAGTTGGGAAAAATATGTTGACAAGATGATGTTGGGAGCGTGGTCCACTGGAACTTCCTTCCTGCCAACGAATTACGAGTCGTTTTAGCAACGAAAGGAGATTACATTTCTTGCAATGGAATCGAAATAATACCATGGGGGATTGATACGAATTAAGCTCCCAACTTCAAGTTCAACATTTCTGCAAACTCTTGGACTGAAAATAATTGTCCTTTTTTCACCTTCAGTTGCAATGCCTTCGTCGCCATTGTGCAATGTAGACTGCTGTGAAATCAAATGATAGGAAGACTCATTTCATCAATGCTGTTGGAGCAAGAAATTCAATCAAGAAACTTTTTGAAGTAGCAATTATAAACTCCTCACCAAAATCCAGAACTAAAAGAAAGGGGAACAAATCCATGAAAATAAAGTACAGAGGCTCTAATGTTAAGTACCCGACGATTTTTATTTCCTAGTTTCCGTGCTAACAAGATTTATCAGAAAAATAAAAAGAAAATAAAATGTCTAATCCACATATCTAACCTACCGCAAAGGGTTGATGAAGGAGATCAATGGACAAGGTTATGACAAGATAATGACAGAAGGGGTACGCCATCCTAATTTCAATTCTAATTGACTTGGATTCATATTTGAATACAAAATTTTATTCGTCTTCAGTTGAAATATCAAATGAAATTCCTAATCCATGAGAAAGATGTTAACAATTTTCATGTTAGACTTGTCTAAAATACAGAAATTACCTCCATGTCTATAAAGAGGCAAGAACATACTGTTAACTTTGCATCCAAGTATCTCGACAGGATTTTTACATCAATGCAGCCTGTTACAATTAAGGAGATGCTAAAGAACTAGATAAGGAATTGATGGAAGGATTTTAAAGTACTGATTTGATGATTTTTTACCATTTGGAACTGTGCTGCAATGTAACCCATTCAAAAAATTCACCTCTCTTTCTTTTTCGCTCTGCATGACTCGCTGCAACTTTCCAAATAAGCCAATTCTGTATACAATTGACAGAATGCAGCTATAAGGTTAAGTGGACTGAAATTACGCAATTGAATTCAATTTTGACAAAGACAGCACAAAATTATTTGGGACAATTCTAGTCCTAGTTTTTACCCTAATGGATTTGGCACCAAGCCAAGAGTCCTTTCAGCATCCATGCAAGCAGCAACTAAAGCCTCCTCAAATCTATCTGTAATTGATTGCTCCTTCGTACAGGGCGCAGCAAGCTTCAACTTCTGATCATTGACCTGCACAAGCATATCAGGAAAATAATTTCCTTACCAAGCAACAGAAACCTTCTTCACCACCTTAAAAACATACCTCACCACTTGATCCGGTATCCACCGAAGTATGGGAGTCTTCACTGTCAGAACTTCTATCTCCAAGTGCAACAAGAGCTCCCTTCTCAACAATCGGGTGCATTCTCCCTCCAACTTGGCTACACTACAGCAAATGGGATCAAATTGAGAGTTACCATTGTATACAAGAAACTGTACAACAAAAAATGCTAATGAAAGTATAATACTTGCAATTAATTATTAATCTATTTTCTATTCGACATGTTTCTCTTTCTCTGTTAACAAGTTGGACTGGTTAAGGATAAGTCTTTTAGACCCTCTCACAACTAACAATTCCATCTAATGACAATATGAAAATTATGAAGGTGTTCAGCATCGTATACCTTTCCCTCTTTACGTTTTCAAAGACAAAATATAGTTGTGTTCAAGTTGTCCTGCGATGATGAATTTATCCTAGATCCTCCTCAAGATAAAGGTCATTTGTTACGACAAGCTAATTTCTTTGATATTTGTGGAATATTTGGTAGGAAAGAAATAGGAGAATCTTTTTCAACTAACAGAAGTTTGCGGCAGGATATTTGAAGTTTGATTAACATTAATCAAAAAGTGACCTGCTTTCAGATTCTATAAGCCATCAATATGAAATCAACCCAATTCCTATGCATCAAAACCAAGACATTCAAAAAGTTGATCGAGAAATGTAACTAAAAACAATCAAGAAAATCGACCTAGCAATGGATCAAATTTTTTGGTCATCACATTAGGAATGCAGTTAGGGAAAATGTTAGGAATATCATTAGGACATTAGAGGCATATTAGTCAATGAGGAGTTTGTTAGATGAGTGGTTACAAATAAAGTGCATTGTAATGGTTAGTAGGAGCCTAGGAGGCATATTTTCTACTAAAATATTCATTTCAGTAGTTATTCTTTTAAAGTTTGGATTCTTCATATCTATCTTTACTAAGTTTTACTAATAGGTATTGAGAAGCTTCAGAAAGTTAAAGATGAAAACAAACCAATTTGGGACGTCCACCCAGCAGGCCATTCTTATCTTCAAGGCCATCTAAAAGTTCAGCAATCGAACTCTCAGTGTTTCCAAAGTTCTCTGCAGGTCCAACGTCAATATGCTCTTCAAATTCTTCCAAAAAATCTTCAAGACACTCTGCAGCTGGATGGTTCTCAGTTCTAGATAGAATGGCATCTAAGTTGTCAGATAAATTATGAACCTTGGATGGTACACAGAGTCTATCATCATGAATAACAGTGCATGATAGTTCTTTCCTTTGTGAATGGAACGTAAATTTAGGCTTGGCTTTGCCTCTGATTCCTGCAGCATATTAGATAATCAATACCAACAGGAGATCACAAATTATAAGTAAATAGTAACTTGAAAAGAAAATTATCCGCCCATGGAGGATTATCATCATAAATGCTATTTTTAATTGATTGGTTCATATAACCAATATGGCTAATCTGACCGGCTAAAAAATATGATCAATCAAGTATTTAACCATAAAACAAGGTAACTGGCTTGGACCATTTAGGTGGAGTACTGACAAAATGAAAATGAAATGTACAGAAACATTATCTAAACAGATTAGTTTTAATAAGAAACGACCTCCATTAATGAATAGAAAATACAAAAAAGAGAGGGAAGCTATGACATCCTCCTAGCTCAAGCACTTATTGATTACAATAACATTTTTCATAGTTATGGAATAAAATGATATTTATTGCTTTTGAGGCTTACACCTCGAGGCAGCTCAAATATTTAGCCATGAGTCTTATGCCTTCTTTGATGCACCTACATGAGAGTGCACCCAATCTCAGAGTCTTTATGACTTGTGAAATGGATAGAATACTAACGTCCTTTTTTTAAGTTTACTACTTATTCGTCCAAAATATAAAAGTACAATACATTGTTAGTTGTGGTAGTTCAACTCATTACTACTTTTACATTCACGGTATAAAGAAACATTGAAGAAAAAAATTACTCATTATTAATTAAGTGGACTCTAATAATGATACTAATAATGATGTTGAGAATAACTTCTATAACATTAATTTTAAAAATTGATAATTATAGACATGAGATTTTAAATTATTTTTTAAAAAAGAACATTTATATAAAGTATAACCATCATGTTAAGTAATACTTTTGTCTACTTTTTGTTATGATTTTTATTTTATTTTATTTAAGCTCAGGTTAATGCCTCATACCACTTCAGAGAGAGAACTTATCTCTCGCCCTTCAACGAAAAGAAAAACTTCAAAGCGGTTTTAGTCTTTTAAAATATTGATTTGTACAAAATATAAATAAGTCATGGAGACACTCCCATAATAATTCTTCCTACTTCAAGCATCAAAGATGAAGCAAAAACAAGCGCAGGATGGATACAGGAAATAGTTCCCACTACTAACTATGAATGAGGCAGTACTTTTACCTGAGCTGCATGCTTCAGAGTAAGTTACATGGGATGAAGAAGGGGAATCATTATTATTCAAAACCTTAACTGCCCTGGCGTCTTTGTTTAGGGGAAACCATGAGCATACACCATTATGCATTTTACTTCCACCGCTCACTATCTTCATTTAACCTTTTAGCACGAGAGATAGGGGAGAACTTGAAAGGACAATGTTTGCCTTCCCAAAGGAATCATAACCAGTATGATTTAAATTTTAAACTTAAAAAGAATTTTAACTTGTGATATAGAGTATATATATAAAGATGTTAGAAGGCACAAAATACGGGACCGCTCTCAGAGCAATTAACCACTCCCTACAGAAAAAGTCTTATAATTGAATATTATAGTAAGGAAATTATGATCGGAATATGAACGAAGCAATGGCCAAAGTGACTGATTGTTATCAGTACAGGACTTTTAGAAACCACCTCCCAGTAAACAAAAGGAAGTAAGGATGAAGAAGTAATAGGAAACCATTTTCACGTTGAAATTGATAATATATTGCCTCATAACAGGATACATAGAAGAAAAAAAAATCACCTTTGAGCCTTTCCAATCTTAAATTGAGCAGAAGTTCTTCCTGGCAAGGTTTCAAGAATCAAGATATTAGAGTCAGTTTAGGTAAACTTGTGATAAGGACAAAATCGTACAAAAGATGATTCAACCTTAATATGAAAATCACCACCTAAGAATGGACAAAATCAAGTATTAAAAACATAGCTTTTTTTATACTTTCAACTTTTCATTGATACTCGAAAAAAAGTTACATAAAAACTCCCTATAGGTGGAAACTAAAAGCCCACAGAGCAGTAAGAACAGCATCCAAAGCTTAAACATAATCTAAAAAATAATTACAAGATAGCTCCCGACAAGAATTAATCTCATAAAATGAAAAAGTTGTGAAAAAATCTTTAGAAAGAGAACTCCAAATACTTTCTTAGTTTTAAAATAAAGGAGAAAACATATTTTTCTTTCTTGGTCAAGAAAATCTAAGAAAGCTAAGAGGTTAACAGAATAGTATCAAATATCCCGACCTACAGAAAAAGATAAATAAAAATAGGAGAGAGAAAGCAGAAATTTGGAAGAAAAAAAATCGCTCATTTTTTATTTTAAACGGCAGAAACTGTTTGTAATCCACAATAGCCACACGTATTTTGCTGAAAGTCAATTTCGTGACCTAATATTTCATTCAACCCAAAATTAAGGAGAATAAGTTCAAATTTTACACAAAACATGCAAGTACAGTCATTGATATAAAAAGGAAAACAAAAAATTTACCAAAATGTTTCTAGTTGTAAAAATACAAAGATCACAAACCCTAGTTATCGAAACTGAAGACACAACGTTGAGTAAAAAAATTAAAAAATCAAAATAAAAGCTATAAACCAGAACAAGATTAAGGGCAAACAAAGGTGATTAGATTAGTGAGAACGAGATGCAAACCTTTCCCTCCGTTGCTCCTTCATTTGAAACATAATCTTCGTCCTCTGTCCCGATCAGGAAATAAAACAAAGCCAATCCATTAATCGTCACAGCAATTGGAGGAAAAAGAAAAGAAGAACAAATCTAACAAAAGAGGTAAAGGAACTACCGGAGATATCGCAATCAGAGTCTCCATTTGCCTGCATTTCTCTTCCAAAACAACCGAAAGAATGAACAAACAAGAAATTTTAACAATGAAGGAGATAGAAAGGCAGTGGATTGGAACTTATCGGAGTGTTTCAGACGATGATTTTCCCGGGAAAGGGTTTTCTTGCTAAAACAGGTTGCCGCGTCTTTATTTTTAGAACAGTTTACAAAATTTTGGAAATTTTATGAGTGAGTTTGGTCGGTGGTATACCGAAACAAAAAACAATGAATTCATGGCCAGTTAAGTATCGTTTCCGTTACTTTTTAATATTTATTAAGAAATTTAAGTATTTTATAGTTAAATATAATCATTATTTCTCTTTTCTATAAATATTTATAGAAATTTTAGAAACAAAGACAGTCTTGTTTGTTGTTTTTATTTTCAATTTGTTACCATACATAAATATAAAATTATTTTATTATTCTTGAATTCATGCATGTTAGAGTTATACAATTCTATTTTTTTTATTAAAAATTAATAAATATAAACAATAAACGAGAACGTTACCAAATAAGGACTTAATGAAAAATCTTATTTCATATTTTTGGGATGTAATTTAAAATTAAATCTCAATTTAAAAAACGGTTAAAAATGTCTAGTAATATATTTAAGAATCAACGGTTGTTATCAACTTAAAATTGTATCACAATTTATTAACATATATAAAAATTTTGTGGATTTTTTATTTTACTATATTATATTTTACATTTTCAATTTAAGAAAATAGGATGAGTTTATAGCATAGAAATAGTATATTTATCAAAGTTTGACCTTTTTTTAATATAATTGTGTATTTTAAAGCTTCTCAATCTAGTTTTTCCAAGATAAATAGATTTCGAAATAAGAGATTTTCAAGACATTGTGATTTAGGTGGATGGAGGGTGGCTAATTTTATTAATCCTAATCACGATTGGGATTGTCAACCTGCTTCGTGAATACATAAATGAGGATGATTTTAATGCTATCACGTAGCTTCTCATTAGCAAGATAGCGGCATAAGATTCATGGACATGACATTTCGATAAAAGAGGTATCTATAGTGTTAAAAGCGGATACAAATTGTGTATGCAGATGAAAATTAGTTAAGCAACTCCAAGCCACAACCACACTAAGAGGTCCTTTGTTTTTAAAAAATATAGATGTCCGCAATTTATAGATGCCTGTAATTTCAAATGTCCAAAATTTTGTATATCCGACATCTTCAGATAAGCGCATTTGTTTTGTAGAAAAATTTATAAGGATATCCAGGAATATTTGGATAGTTATGTTTGTTTGGAGGATTTATTCTTTTAAATGTGTTAAATTTAATATAATATATTTATTTGAATTAATTTAATTTTTTTTATTTTTTATATGTTATTTTGTACAACAAATTAATTAATATTAACTTAATATATATTTCATTTTCAACTTTAATAGTTTCAAAAAAGACAATCATATAATTTATGCTATATTGGGTTAAATTTATTTATCCTATCATGACGTTTTATTTTTTAAGATAAAAAATATTGTTGGTCATAGAAAAAATGTTGTTTTAAAATTATATATTTATGATAATAAATATTATTAATAATGTAATTACTTCAAAATATTAAAAATAAATTGAGATATTACGTAATTTAATTACAATTTATTTTACACGTAAATCTAATGTACAAATATACTTAATAGCATAAAGTTGTTTATTAGACAACGACTACATTAATTTATTTTAATTATAAATTTAAAATTTTAAAATAAAGAATTTTTTTGACTACAAGTTAAAAATATGATGAAAAAAAATATATGAAAAAAAAATGAATGGTAAAAATGTAAAAAATGGATGTCTTCGACACGAAAATCTTGGAAATCCGTGTTTCAAAAGGTATCAAAAACTCGTAAGATGTCTTCGGTATGAACATCCTGGGATACCCAGACAAAGATTCGCACGAAATAAAGTTTGGTGGAAATCTCTATGAAAATTGAAAACTAATTCACATCGATCTTCATCGGATCATTTTCGAATCTGATTCCATTGCTGTAATGAAGATGATTTCGAGGAAGAAAGGAACATGGATCAGGACATCCAAAAGCTTTCTTCCTTTGGCAAACTCATAGATTCAGTTTCATCCAATTTGACCATAGATTTATTAAGAACTGCTATGAAAAGTTTACTTTAAGCTAATTCATCCACTAATCTTAATACAAAAAATAATGTAAAAAATTAGTATTGTGCAACAAAATTAACAGTTAAACAACTCAACCAAAACTCATTATTAGGAGTTAGATCTAGTGTTATTTTTGTGTGAATTTTATCAATTTCATATTAAATATATATTTTATAATTTATTCACTGCATGTTAGAATACCGAAAATTACAATTCTTTTCTAAAGTTTAAGGTGAATATTACAATATTTATCCAAGTTTAAGGTATAATTTGAAAAAAAAAATTGAAGGTAGATGGGTAAACATTGATAAATCTTGCTAAGTTTATTCGGAAAATTCTTTTTTCCTACCATTTATTTGAGTTATTTTTAAAGTCACTTTAAGTTTAAATAGTATTTTAGATTTTATATACATTCACTTTTTGTTTATTTTGAAATGTCTATTTTTGTGTCTATATTTTTAAATTTCATCAACTTTGATTCGTGTACTTTAAAAGCATGCGTGTTGATTCCTTTAATTTTAAAAAATTATAATTTAGATCCTTGTTCACAAAATTTCAATACAAATTTTATACTTTATAAAAATTCTTTAACACAAAATCTTGACAGTATTTCAAAAAGATTATTGATTATATTGTGGATTGAAATTGTAATTGAAAAAAAATGTGATTAAAGAAAAAATAAAATGATCAAATGGTTATTTTTTTAAGAGTTTCAGTATTAAAATACATATTTTGAAAGCACTACGAAAAAATAAAACTTTAAAATATTTGTAAACTATGTTTATAGAAACAATTATAAATGTAATGGAAAAATAACATTTAACCCTAAAATTAGCGCATTAATGTTTACCTTTTATACGTACGTACATATATATATTTTTAAGGCGAAATACCAAAAAATAAAACACTAAAATATTTGTAAACATACAAAATAAAATGGAAAATATCTTTTTTACTCTAAATTTAGCAAAGTGTATTATTTCTTACTCTAAACTCTCAGTTTCATCAATCTACACCTTAAATAATTTATTGTGATTTACGTCCTAAAGTTCTAAAAAGTGTTGAAATCTTTACACGTTGGTATATTTTCGTTTGAAAATTTATTGAAAAAATTATTATCATATTGATCAAATGAGTTATAAAACATATATTTGATTTAAAATTGATAGGTTTCAAACAAAAATAGTTTTTATGGTTGAAACTTAGTTTTAACAAATTATTTACCTATCAACTTAGTATATTAATCGAACTTAATTTTGTACAAAGTTTAGATTTTCATTAAATTAGTGAGATTTTAAGTTTTTTACTTTTTTTATTTTTTGTTTTGTTAAAATGGGTTGGTTGATAATATAAAGTAAAAATTGCAATACTTATATAAATTTATAGTTTAAATTGATGAAGTTAAAAGTTTAGAGTGAATTGATATGATTCCTCAAGTTTATAGGTAAAATATGATGTTCTCCCTAATTATAGTTAAAAAAAACGAGTTGATCACAACTTCACATGCTTTTTTGAAAAATATATAATATTTTGATTTAATTTGTAAATATGGTATTTTAATATAAATAATAATAAGAAATGTGTTATTATTTTCTAAAAAGGAAAAAAGAAGTATGTTATTATCTCATGCAATAATTCTATCTGGATATATATAATAAATAAGAGTATGTTATTGTTAAAAAAAATAAAAATAAAAAAGTATGTTGTTGCTTTATGCAATAATTCTATCTAGATATCATTGATGGTGATATATTATTCCTTAAAAAAAATCCACATTAAATCCAAAAGCATAATAATAATAATAATAATAATAATGTGTTGTGTTTTTCATATCCTATCAATTTAACTTCTAATGATTTTGATTCGACTACTCAAAATTTGGAATCTATTTTGCCCCTACAAACTATAAGACTTTAAACACAAAAATTAAGTGAAATTTTATATTTTTATTGTAAATTGTATCCATTTTTATCATAAATTTTTACCTTCACCAAATTAGATCTTAGAATTAGATTACAAATTTTACTTTCTCTTCAATTTCAACTAATTCACTCACTAATTTTAACAAAAAAAAAAAAATCTCACTAATTTCAATGTAATGAAATTGTGCACAAAATTAAATTAGGTCGAGGCACAAAATCGACCCAACATTTACAAATTAAAAAAAAACATCTCTAATCAATTTCATAATAGGTATATGTTTTATAAATTGTTGGGTGAAAATACATTTTTTTATCATTATTTCAATAAAACTTATTAGAAGGTATAAATTGCAATACTAATTCAACTTTAAATTTAATATTGCAATATTTATCTAAGTTTAAAGTACAATTGATACACCTTGCTAAGNACCTCTCCTATCTTTCCATCTCTTTCACTATTTATCCCGGTTATTTTAATAAAAGTACATGAACTATAAAAATGTTTTTTAACCAATTTTATAAATAAAACATGTGAAATGTAAATCTATAAATTTAAAGAGGGATAATTAAGAAGTTTTCATAAAACTGCAGAAGGTATCATTAGTCATTGCATCACTTTCATATGGTACTATTTTTCATAGATCACTTTCTTGTTGCATCTAAATCAGAATGGACAACTTACCAATAATTTCCAATTCCTATTCAAGTTAAATCAATTTTGTGCATATTCTCAATCAGTCTCAATTTATACTAATAATTTTATATTAAATTGAAATAGATTGATATTTGAGAATCTTAAGAAGCACTTTCCACTTGAGTACTCTTATTATAAACATTTTAAGGAAAAAAGTGAAAAAAAAACTCTTTTAAGGTATATTTTAATGTTTACCATCTCAAAAAAGTTGGAGTGTAGGAGCACTTTCTCTTTAGGCTAGAAGTTTTAGAGCCAGAGAGATTGGGAGGAGTGGAATGAGATTAAAATAGATGTTTTAGAAGTAAATAAAGTCGTTTAGTAGGAGTTTAAGATTTTATTTCTCACTCAACAATGGAACGTTCAAGACGTTGAACTTTGCTTATTTCTTTTTTAAAGGATAGATGAATAAAATGATATTTTTGTTCCAATTTTTGTCTCTTCTTCTCTCTCTGTATTAAACTTTTCCTTGCCATAATGATCCAATTCCTAGTAGTATCAATGATACAAGTCGGATTCTAGATGTAGAAATATAAGAAGGAAGATCCCCTTCTCCATCGAAAGAAATGATATTTTCGCGGATACAACACATAAAAAATTAACCAAATTTGTCTGATGTAGAGGCAATCGAGAAAGCGGATCTTTGGACATTTGTATTCCCACGTTTTATTTGGATATCTCAAGATACGCGGGTATCTTAAGATTCCCACACGAGGGACATCTATCTAACTTTCTTTAGATATTCTTTTGAAACATTGAGTTTCAAGATTCATTCTTTGAGGATATATCTACTTACATTTTCCTCTATTTTTCCATAAATTTTCTTTTATTTTTACTTTTAACTTTATAATTTAAATAAATTAATTTACTCATGAAATAATAATCAATTTTATGCAAATAAGACAATTTTATGCAATTAAATATATTTATACATTACATTTACATATAAAATAAACTTCAATTAAATTATATAAAATCTCTATTTATTTTTAATATCACGAAGAAATTATATTAATATTATTATCACAAATGTATAATTTTAAAGCAAGACCAACATATATTTGATATTTTTTCTCTTAAGAAAAAGATAATTTGGTCATATGATAAATAAATTTCCCCTAACATAACACTAATTATATATTTTTTTAAAAAAGAAAATTATATATTTGTCTGTTTTGAAAAATATTAAAATTGAAAGTAAAATTTATATTTAGTATTTATATATTTTTAAAATAATATATTAATATGAACTATTTTGTTCTACGATATAATATATAAAAATTAATATACGTGGAATCAATATTAAAAAATAAATTTATTATATAAATTAAAATTATAGTAAATCAACGTATAACTTATATGGATATTCATTAGGACATTTTATTAACATTATATAAATTTAAAATATTTAAATAATAAATATCCTGCAAAACAAATATAACTATCTAAATATTCTCATAAATCTTCCTACAAAATAAACGCGAATATCTAAAATGTCATATATCTAAAATTTTGGGTATTTGAAATTTCAAATATTACATTTCCAGAAAACAAACGTAAGACTAAAGTGCAAAAAAATGCCTATGAAATTGACCTTTGTTTCAAAAATATTCTTACTGTTTCACAAGTTTTAGTGCACCTCCATCTCGACTTTTCATAAATGCTTTAAAAAATAGAATTTTAAAATTTAGCTCTTGAAACAAAGACAAAAGTTCATCAGTATTTTTTAATAATTTATTCAATTTAAAAAATATTTATCGAAGTATAGCTGGACAAGTTAAGACACTTATGTCTAATAAGAATGTGATTAGAAGGTGATGATTCAAATCTCGTACCCCGCCTAATATACTTAAAAAAGCTCTTAAAAATGGTTTTTTTTTCTTTTACCATTGCTCATAAATATTCTCTAAATATTTAAAAAGTATATTTTACATAATCTCTTTTCAAATTATTATCATTTTACCAAATTAGATAAAGATTAATTTCAATACAACAGTTACAATTCGTTTAAAAGTATAAGTAGATAATGGTATTTTTATCTTATTTGTTTTAAATGCTGAAATCTTTATCCTAAAATAAAAAAAGAATAGTCTTCGTCTTCAAATAAAAGTATAAAACGTACTGCATCTGCAGATCCCATAATTGATTTTCAAGGAATGGAGATGGAGGAACGCTCCTTTGTTAATTCTTCAGAACAACAGCAGGTTCATCTTCTCTCTCTCTTATCCTCAATATTTTCAACATTTGTAATTTAATGGAGAATCAGTTGTATTGTTTTCTTTCCCATTATCTTGGTGTCGCGCGTCTTCTGTCGGAACGGTTAATTTGGTCTCCAAAAGTCGAAAAACTGATTGATGAAAATTGACTAGCCGTCTTCTGCTAGGATTGGATCATCATGTTTGTAACATAGGGCTAACGGTACGTTCTCGTACTTAGCTGTTTGTTTTGTTTTGATTGTCCAAAACTCTTAATATAAGGTATGATTGAACATGGTCAACTTTGATGTTAGGATAATAACTTCGAGAAATTGAGCAAATGGTGCTGTATACTTTATTTATGGGTCTGTTGAGCTCAAACTTTTGGAGGTAGCTTTGCTTTTCTTTTGATGAACCTCACCGCTGGTTTCAATTTGGAAGATGAAGGCGGTGTCATATCTTGTGCTGTTTATTTTGACCTATTATCCGTTATAGAGCCACAACCCATATGAAGACTTCGATGTAGAATTCCAGATTGAATCATAATTCTCTGGGAAGTTGCGTTCATACCAAGGACACCTAGGTCTTTGAGTTCTAAGTTATCATCAAAGTTTTTGGCTCCATGGTTTTGTACTTTAGACATCAGCAACTGTGTTATAGGGGTCAATTTTAACATATTCTCAAAGCGAAGCATTGTGAGATATCTAGATTAGTGGTAATTTCTCACATGAATTATTTGCATGATGCTTGTCAGGAATTAATGTGAATTTCTTGTCTTGTAAGGTGGAAGATGGAGGTGAAAGTGCGAGGTATACTATTGACGAAGCTCTTATATCCATGGGTTTTGGGAATTTCCAAATTTTTGTGCTTGCTTATGCTGGAATGGGATGGGTTTCAGAAGCTATGGAAATGATGTTACTCTCCTTTGTTGGACCTGCAGTTCAGTCTGCTTGGAACCTTTCTCCTCACGAAGAGTCTATGATCACCAGTGTGGTTTTTGCAGGCATGTTAGTTGGAGCCTATTCATGGGGCATAGTTTCTGATAAATATGGACGAAGGCAGGTCTCATTTATTCTAATATCATTTCACTTTCATTAACGTATGCGTATGTTTGATGATGTGAATTTCTTCCACTTGTTAATGCTATTTGTGCAATCTACTTACGTCCTCTGCTTCCACTTCCTTTTTAATTGTTCTTATTGTTCAGACTTGAAGATTTTTTTTTTTTAATATTTTGACTGATATTCATGAAAGATTCTATTGTAATCAAACAACAAATTTTTTAATACAATAGCTTCTTTGGGGTGGGGTTCTCTCTACCCCTCGCCCCTAGGCTGTCCTTTTGTGACTAATACATATCTTTTCTGTTTCTTATAAATAATAAAAAATAAAACTTTGTAATCAAAATTTTCTGATATAGAATTGAATTTTGTGCCAGTCTTGGTGGTTCTATTTCTCTTGTTTTTTGTTTTTAACTTTTCTTATTCAGGATAGATTTCTTCATTATGGAAATGATCACATCTGTTGCTGAATTCCAAGTTCTTTTGCCCCAAATTATATATCTTTGAATTTCTCTGATATAAAATTTAACTTTTCTTTCAGTCTTGACAATTCTACTTTTCCTTTGGTTTTTCTTTTTAAACTTCTCTCATTCAGGAGTGGTTTCTTCATTACAGCAACAATCACTTCTGTTGCTGGATTTCTAAGTGCTTTTGCCCCAAATTATATATCTTTGTTAGTTCTTCGCTGTTTAGTTGGCATTGGGTTGGGAGGTGGCCCTGTACTTGCGTCCTGGTTCTTGGAATTCATTCCTGCTCCTAAAAGAGGCACCTGGATGGTTGTTTTTTCAGCATTTTGGACCGTTGGAACAATCTTTGAGGCTTCATTAGCATGGGTATAATTTAGCTTTCTGTTCTAGTTGAGTAGATGTTCTTGCTACGTCTTGACCTCTCATTCAAAAAAGAAAGAAAAAAGAAAAAAGGATATGTTGATTGCTTGGTTCATTTCTGGTCAATCAACTTTGACACTGCTTGCAAATGATATATAATTTTGGAGATTTTCTTACTCTCCAAGTTTCATGTAGGATTTCTATATGTTCCTTCAATAACATTTAGTAATAGCTATTTGGAGACAGTCCATGATGTAGTGTTTCTCTCCTTTGTGTTTCAATAGATTTTGTATTAATTCTTTAATAAACAAGTTTACTATTAGTTAATGGTTTAAAATTGTTAGTTTTAAGCCAAAGCTTTGCTGTTAGCTAGTTATTCATTTATATTAGGAGCTGCCCCCTTCTACTTGTGGCTAAGAATAATATCAAAGTTTCCAGCAGTTAAACTTCATTACTCTGATGAATCAAAATGGTCTGGCATATAATTGTAGTGGTTTATAATATAATTTAAGTGCAAGTCTTCTTATTGGCTCTTCCTATCATTTTTTTGGACTCTACGCTTTCCAGCCGATACCATATAAAATGGTTGTAGTCCACCTTCATGTTTTTTATATACACTCTTATTTGCAGATGATCATGCCAAAATTAGGTTGGAGGTGGCTCCTCGCACTGTCTTCTTTTCCTTCCTTTCTTCTCCTACTCTTCTACAGATCTACTCCAGAGTCCCCACGGTATCTGTGTTTACAAGGTAGAACAAGTGAGGCAGCTATTATTTTGGAGAAAATAGCACGAATCAATCAAACAGATCTACCTCCTGGTGTTCTTGTTTCTGGTCACTCGTATGATTTTGACGAGCGAAGTATTCCGTTCGAAGATGTACGTTTGCTTTCACCAAGACAAACTAAAGTTGGAACTTCTCAAGCAACAGAATCTTATATGGTGGGCCTCTCTCCATTGTTTAAGCTTCTTTCTCGAGAACTGATTGTGTCCACATTGCTCTTGTGGGTAGTTTTCTTTGGAAATGCCTTTTCTTATTATGGCCTCGTGTTGCTAACCTCTGAGTTAACTGGAAATAGTAGATGTACGTCTACTGATATACCTCTAAAAGAATCCGAAGATATCAGCTACAAAGATGTCTTTATCTCTAGTTTCGCAGGTAACAGTCTTTTGGTTGTTCCGAAGTTTTCCCTAGTCGGGGGCAAAGGTTTGGTAGATGGATGATAATCTAACCTCAAATTTTCTTTGAAGAGTTACCTGGTCTCGCGTTATCAGCTGTCATGGTTGACAAATTAGGGCGTAAGTTGTCGATGTCTGCGATGTTCTTCCTGGGCGCCATATTTCTATTTCCCCTGGCATTTTATCGAACTGACGGTTTAACAACTAGCCTTTTGTTCGGAGCTCGCATTTGTATCACATCTACATTCACAGTTGTCTATATATATGCTCCCGAGGTAAGCTGGAATAGAGAAATAAATCGTCAAGAGACAATCTAGAAATATTGATTTCTGCAGGTTGATTACTTATGTTCCTAATAGTAATGTGATTTTTTAAGAGGATGGCCTGTTCTAATCTGCTTTTGATGGTTGATTTTTCATCTGGACTTGAATTTGCCTATCAAATGCCTTTCTTCTTTAAAATTAAAATCTCTATTTCTCTCCATGTTAGTTGATTGTGTGATTTATCATGACATAATTCATTGTTACAGATTTGTATATTCTCTTATAAGAAGCTCTTTGCATATCAGTTATCATTCCTCTGTCCTCTATTCAATTTTAGTTAGAAATGTGATTACGAACCAAAGCTTTACAACATACGTGTGTTAATGTTTCTTGGTGCAAATTTTGTGCATGGGACATTAACTTTTTCCCTAAGATTTTTATCATAGTTTTCCTCCAGCTCTTCTTTGGCATGGTGTAACTTAGTTATCCTCTTACAATCTATGCAAACTACAGATATATCCAACCTCAATACGAACAACCGGAGTTGGGGTCGCTAGCTCTGTTGGAAGAATCGGGGGAATGATATGCCCTCTCGTGGCCGTCGCCCTGGTTAAAGGATGCCATCAAACAGCAGCCATTATTTTGTTTGAGATAGTAATTTTGCTGTCGGGGATCTGTGTTGTGTTCTTCCCATTCGAAACCAAGGGGCAAGATCTTCCTGAAAATTATGTAGCTGAAACTTAGAATGCACACTGATTACATAGTTTCCATTACCTGTGATCTCGCCCCCTTTCCTTTATTCATTATCTGCTGCTATAGCTTCTGTTGAAGAGACCGTACGTTGAGTATCGACTTCAAGACTTCCGGTATTTACAATACCAGCTCGAGAACGAGAGTCGCAAAAAACAAATCCTATTACTATTCTTCAACTATTAGGTGGGATACAATGTAGGACTGTTACACGACCAGTTATCCGTACAATAAATGAGCAAGGATTGAAATGTGGTTTCTGCTGTTAGATATGTTAAATTCATTCTTACCAGGAGAATATGTTCTCTCTTGTAGAGAGTTTCAAATTGTCCTTTGACAGAACTTATTGAGATATTTGAAATTAAATAATGCTTCTTAATTCTCTCTCTTGCATCTAATGTTCTTAAAAGTGATAACTATATTATATGATTATGCTAACTGTGGATATTGTCCAAGTTTGATGAATTGTAACACAGGAAAGAAGTGACTTTAGGGCTTGGGGGATCAATGTTGTACTGAATTCTAAGAGTAGCTTGATAGGGTAGTTCTTAGGGAGGACCGTCGAGCACATTTGACAAAGATCAAGAAAGATCTCGGTCGTAGCAATGCTCCACGCCACATTCGACATTTGAAGTGCGAAAGATTTTTCTCTAGATCTGGAGGCAATTGAAAGACTGTAGTTTAAGATCATACGTCTTGAAGGTTTGAAACCTTTCAAAGTTCGAACTTTTTTAAAGAAAGGCTGAATTCAGTCAACTTTCAGTTATTTTGGCTCCTCTTATCTGTTAAAGATGAGGATAAAACCCTTGCTCCCATCCCATCGACACGTGGATCAACGCCAATCTTGAAAAAGCGATTCAGAAATCTAACACGCATTATCCAGAAGCCGACGATTCGATTCGATTCGATTCACGAAAGCAGAGCAGAATGATAAGTCATGTAAAAGGTCTATTTCCACGGCCGCTATCACCGCCTGTTGCGGCGCATCCAAATTGGAACAGCGCCGTCGTCCGATTCGCCGCTCCGCTCGCCCTAACCAGAGCCAGTTGCCGGATCGCAACGACCGCGGCGGCAATATTGGCAGCCGCGGTGGTGATCGCTTCGCCGGCGCCGTCGGCCGCAACTGAGAACAGCAGCAGCAGCAGCATATCTGAACAAGAAGCAGAGACTACGCTGTCGAACATTCCGCAGACGCTTTCCGGCGAGTGCGCGGTGCCGAGCGACTGCAAGAGGGCGAGAATTCAGCGGCCGAAGTCGAGGAAGGCAGAGTCGTGCACGATCAAGTGCGTGGGCACCTGCATTCGAGGCGGCGAAGGATCTCCCGGAGAAGGGCCATTGAACATCAGGAGGTAAGCGAAGATTCAAAAAAATGGAAACTGAACCCTAATTGATGAACACAATTGTTGTTTTTTGATCAGTGGAAATTGTTTTTTGCAGACCAATTGTTGTTTTCAAGCAAGGGTTTCGAAGTCGTCAATATTGGTGAGTACGTATCTCTTTAAACATAGTAGTTAGTTTAGTTTAGTTTCTATATTTAATTGAGGATCCATCTATATTCTGCCACCAGCGTAGAAACCAAATTAAATGCCACCTTAATTAATACCATCCTAAATCGTACCAAAAAATTAAAAATTAAAAAATTTATCTTAGATTGTGTTTGGAAGTGATTTTCAAAATTGTCAAAATCACTTCTCTCATTAATCATATTTGACAAATTTAAAAATTAATTTTAGAAAAATTTAAATTACATTATCATTGATTTTTCAAGATCACCACTCAAGTAATATCTTAAATTCTTAAAATCAATTTTTTAATTTGTCAAACATGATAAATAGAAATGAAAATATTTTTGTCACGTCCAAATTACATTTTAAACTTTTCTAAAATCAAAATTAGACAGTGATTATGACAATATGACAAAATATGACAAAAGTGATGTGATTGTAGTAATAAAAAAATCATTTTCAAACCAAACCTTAACTAGAAAAGTACGTGATTTTAACTTGATTTGAAATTTTGAACCTCATCCTTTTATAATTTTGTGAACTTTTTTGGTATTTGCAGTTTGGTGGAGTGTTCAGATATCTGCAATTTGATGGGCGACGGTGACGATGGACCTTGAGAACATTTTTTGTTTGTTGCCACATATTATTTATGCTTTATAATTACTTCAATTACAACCTTAAATTCATCTTTTTCCTATTTAAAATCATTCTTTTTCCATTTAAAAAGACAGGATTTTAATATTATATTCAAAGGAAAATTTGAATGAATTGTTAGAATGAGTAGCTAAAAATCCCATTTAGCACATTTTTAACCTTGCTTGAAAACACACCAGTTTTTAGTCAATTTTCGAAAACAATTTAAAACTACATAGTCTAAATTTTATTTGTTATAAACTTCTTTTTTATAAAAATCAAAACACAAAATTTAAAATTAATTTTAGATAAATATAACATCTGACTAATTTTCATGTCCACCTAACTCTATATAACAACTCCGTAATTCTACAAAATACGATATCTACAACTTCCCACTACAAGATTAAAAGGTGGAGGGAATAACATGATAGATACAGAGGCTTAGTCTTTGATATCTTTAAATTGTTCACTCAGGTCAGAACAAAAATAAGGTAGAGCTTATTGTGATTGTACAAATATGAACATCAATCACCTAGAACATGAAAATGAGCTCCCTTTCCCTTGGAAAAATTAGGAGCGCTAATGGAAAAAAGAGCACAACTTCCACCTACCTAGCAATTCTTCCAAAAAAAATTTACACCCACATTATGCAACCAAAGGCAGAGAATAGGAATACCACATTTGAAGACTTGGCGATTCTTTATACAAATGCATGAAGATGTCATTGCAATGAAGATCTCTCGGGCAAAAATAAGTATCGGAAGCGAGAATCGAAAGGAAGAATACCGCAGTTGCGAGAACCGATTAGGCTTTGCCGCCTCTGCGCTATACAGCCCTGAACAAAGGCAGCTTGATGGGGTGGAAGGTAATGTGATATCCATACCGCCAAATTTGCATCGTCAACGGAGTTTTTGGCGAAGCAATATAGGAGTTTTGGTACCAATAATCTCCCTTTGCTACTAACACCTACGGAAGCTCGAATGAAATCACGCTGTGCCTCCAAAAGATCCTCCCGAACGTTATTTGCAGTGTAGACCCTCACCTACACAAGTTATATGAGTTAGACTTGAACTAGGAAAATGGAAAACCGTCGTCCTCATTCTTACACACGGGTTTCTTTATGTAGAATTACCGCAGGTGAAGAGTACGTCCCGCAGCTCAGGGCAAATGTTAAAAGTGGTTCGTGTTTATCTATCGCAAATCTTCGCTGCTCCTCCGTCACCTTTGATTTGTGAAGCGCAAGAAGCAAAGCCTGGTTGTAATTTTTCACAATATAGGTTAATGAGGACATGGAACTATGGTAATAGAATAAGTGCATACAACAAAGAAAAGTTTAAAGGTTAATTTAGTTCCTATCCTTTCAACTTTTATTCATTTTAGTCCCTAGATTTAAAATGTCCGTTTTGGTCCCCGCAGTTTAGAAAAGTGACCATTTAGTCTCTTCATTTTCATTTTATTTCATATCAAAATTTTAACATGACACTTCACTCACTGTTCTTGAAATGTAACCATAAATTTGTATTAAAGAACACTTATAAAATTTTACAATTAAGGACCCCAAAATGATCACTTTTTAAAAGCATAGGGACCAAAACGGACTAAAACAAACTAAGACTAAAATACAAGAATCAAAATAGTATATAAACCAAAAAGAAAAGAAAGAGAGAGAAAAAAAAAAGAGTTAGGGCAAGGGCATACAATTTGTGGCCTGTGAACTGGTGGTTTCATCTTGAGGATGACATATTCAATTCCTGTTGCACTGAAAGAATGCCCCCCAACTGTGTATGCTGCCTGTGAGAGTATATTTCAAAAGAAATAACTTATTGACACCCAAAAAGAAAGAACTTGACAACAAAAATAAGAATCTTTAGCTTTCAAAATAAGTATTTTGACTAAAACCATTAGTTACTAGAAGTTTTCACGTTACGGGTACGTTTTTCACGGGCAAAGCTAGTGCATTTCTTTCATTGAAATATCGAGAATAATACAACAGTAGAGAGACCCTAGAGGATGTCTCAAACATAACAACTCTTAGCATCAGGGCAACCCTGGGAGTAAATACCCATATAAAATCAATTCATTGAGTTTTCGAAACAGTACAGGCTGTTCGACCTAACTCGTTCCAATGTTCGAATCTCAAAGTAAAACCTTCAAATGGCATATGACAAAATAATTCAGGCAAATTATAAATGGACACTAGCTAAGGCTACACATGGTAGATGACATTTCCTTGAAGCTGTGAACAGGTACAAAGTAGCCATGAATATCTATTTTCGAGAATAAATTCACTTAAAAGTGAAGCTTTCATCAACACTTCGAACCTTATATAAGTCGGCTATATTTTTGGAGGAAAATAATAATAGGATGCCCTTTCAATAATTGTAAGGATGCTTTATGTTAGTAGTTAGTAGGGTTCCGTTATAAATAGAGTGAGGGGTAAGGATGAAGGTAGGTAATTAGGGTATGGTTTAAGCTTGAATAAAAATACTCAGAGCGGCACCTCGAATTACTTGGTAGCTATTGTAGTTCTTATACCTTTTATATTTCGATATGTCGTTAGTGTTCGAGCTCTATCATTTTCTCAAATCATATCAAATCAAGTTCGAGTTCAAGTTACATTTGGCTGATTTGAGGCAAAATTTATGGACAAATAGGAAAACCAAACTAATAGAACAGGCCAGAGATGGAATAAATCTAAATCTATTCATATCATTGCTATGAACAAACCAAAGTGTTCAGATCAAACTATTAACCAAAGCTAGTCTATTTGGCTAAATATTAACAAAAAACATTGATATTTTTAAATGAATCTACCTAATGTACCAAGTCTCGTTAAAAAACTCCACCATTCACGCGCTTATGGAGTATGCCTAACCATCTGACATGAGGACTAATGGCCTCCCTGCCACTGCTCACTATGTATAACCTCCTGCACGCTATACTAATGCTTGGGCCCCAGCTAACCAACTTTCATTTTCTACGCACACCTCGACTAGTCTCATAGGACAGCAATCTCAACCTAAAACATCTTGCTATCAAGAAACCCATATGACTTTAATATCTTAAGTAGGTGACTATCGTAGATTTTGAACTCATTCCCCAAAGTTTATTTTTTTTTCATTTGCCCCAATGGCCAACGTCACTAGGTCAACTCATGGTGGTTGACAGCTAACCTACTCTAATTGTGCTTCCAAGCACACTATCGTGCATTTGGCCATAGGTTCATACACCCTCATGGTGCACTCTACAAGACCAATGCTTGGGCATCCTCCAACAGCCTACCATTATCATCACCCTCCTAGTGCACATCGGAGCACCGTGGATACTATATTGCTCACATCACACCAAGCACCCAAACATGTGAGTTTGCATTGCCAGAAAGTGCTAGCTTCTAAGTGCTAGCTGTGCTGTGGTGCTCCTTACTTGTTCAAGTGTATCTGTGTGACCCTGTCAAATTAGTTTCGAGGTGTGCTCTCTGAAATGTAAAGAGATGGAAAGTTCGAAGTAAATTTAATCAATGTCTTATGCATACTTGATCGAAGTTTTTCTAAATAAACCTTGAACATGAGTTAGTATTATCACTACAACTTCACAATAACATATGTAAATTGACGAGGCAACACACTAACTACATCTCTACAGTATGTGATAGCTATACAATGCAACTAAATACACAGAAGAAATATCAGCTCCAAAGTATGGATCCACGAAATAAAATAATATTGGCTTCAAAAACAAACCTTTTGCATTAAAGAGAAAAGTTTCAATTCACTTTTTGGAACTCCATAAGCCAGGTAAGCCTGTCAAAAATCAGTGAACGACAAACTTAGCATCTACCCATATTTAACAAATATGCTCTGTACTAAAAAACATATTTTAAAAATATGCTCTTACAGTTAACTAGCCATGTATAAAACCAAATTTAAAAAAGAGAAAGCTACTTACATGCATGATCAGTGCATTATATAAGTTAATCCAGAAGGCTAGCCTTTCATCACTGTTTAAATGAATGGGATTCACTTTTGCAAGCTGCTCCACAAGAGTGCTGTATACAATACCGATACATTAGGGACTAAAACATGCCAACTCTAGATTACAGAAAAAAATTTGCAGGATTATCATATTTCCAAAAAAAAAAAAAAAAGGGAGAGAATCCACAAAAACATGGAAGAAAAATGAAGGACAATGTAGTTCATGGATGCTACCGGAACTTCCTCAATTCTCCTGCAGCATATTCTAATTGCTTCTTTCCAACTGACATCCAAGAAACTTCAGCTGCTTGAGAATAAGTCCCAATGTCAGCCCAGCTTAACTTTCCACGTACACTGTATGGATCACAGGCATTCTTTGTGGCCAATACTTCGGAGCTACATGGAAGATCAATTTGTGGACTTTGAACTTGAGATGAAATAATGGACCGTTCAGATGATGACCACCATGATGAATTGGAGAGATGTCCTCGGGGTGATGCAGGTGAGTGGCTTTCCAATGTTGATGATTTGGATGGCACAGCAGAATCTGCTAGAGAGATGAATATGTTCTTCATACATCTTACCATTTCTTCTGATAATATATTAGGGTGATGCCAAAGGCCACTTGATGGTGCCCCTCGAGACATTTTCTCACATTCTACAGATTGGGAACATTTGGTGACCTCTGTTGCAGACGTCTTCTCACAGCGTGATTCGACTAGGTCAACTGTATCCTGATTCAGCATAAATAAAGCTTCAGCGTTAATCCTGAAAATTATGGTTTAGGAACACAGAATGTATTGATAGTGGCAGTTGAAAATTTCATCAATCTAACTTCTAACAGTTATCATCATTTGACCCTATAGTTTCCAATAAACTTCAGTCAAAATTAGTATTTCAATTTGTTACTCTGACTACAGGAAGACATTACTCAAATCAAGTTATACAACCCCAAAAAAATAGAGAAAAAACAAATCTGGTCTGAGTGACTTGTTTTCTACTAATCATGAAATAGAAGAGATGAAAACTTAAACATCTGTTGTTCCAGCCACTATCAAGCGTTTGTTTTTAAACTTCTAACACAAAAACCACCCTTGGAAAAGTGGAAATATTTTTAATGCATTTTTAAAAGTATAAAAAACGTTTGATCAATAGTCCATTGTCCCAATAAATTTTTGAGACATTGAAAAGATTGATGGAATATAATTAAAATAGTTGACATATCTAGACACTTTCTAAAATTGGACATTTTGAGATTTATTTAGTGAAAACAGTGAACACAATAACTACAAAATCCTGATAATATGACAACCATTATATCTGCTATCATAGATTAATCAATCATAAAATGCTTTAAAAGAATTTTCTGGATAAGAGTTGGCATTATCTCAGATTTGTGGTTTTCATACCAAAAAGTAGACATTGGGCGCTTGAATTAGTTTAGCCTTTTTAAGATGGAAAACGGAACTAGTCCTCCACCTGTTGCAACTCTTTCTTCATATATGTGTCACTAGATTTATAGTTTTATTAAATACAGGGCTTTAAAGTTCAAGAAATCAACTGCATGGAGGAGCTGGAGTACAGTGAAAGCAAACAAAAATCGGTCTCACGCTTATGCTTTCAGCAACAAAGGATGAATAACGAAATATACTCCTTTACAGTCAACAAGGACCATAAAAAGTAAAACAAGTTTGCATGTGTTCTGAGAAAGGTAAATTACTGACAGAGAATAAGTAATAAGTTCAAGCAAAACCACAAATATTAATTGTAACAATGGTCACATATTTCCTGTCTAAATGCAAGTGAGAACTCAGCTAAAGTTTCAGGAAAAGAAAAAACAAATATTTACATCAAGACAAAAATCAATGTGGTGAGATACCATTTTTTTCATGGAGTCAGAATTGGAGCGAAGGGAAATTGAACAAGGTGATGAATGCATTAAACGATATTCTGCAAGCCTCCTTTCATTCTTTTCTTGACTAAGTTGGAAATGTAAAGAGACCATCTCTTGCTCGAGTCGTACAACTGCATCTTCCAATACCGCAATGCTAGATAGAAGATCTTGAGCCTGCATAAATTTCAACGCAAAGAATATTCCCGCTGTAATTTCATAATACAAGTAAAAATTTTGGAAATTTTGATCAAATAAGGTACGGGATGAGTTTCCAAGACAAACTGCCTCAAAGGGTGCAAGGGCTCTTGCTACCAAATACAATCTTCACATTAGGTTTTTTCCATTCTGTCACATAATTAGTAGGGGACTGAAAAGAAAGAAAGAGATGGAGAAAATTCTTGGGAAATTAAAATTCACTAAAGCTATAAAGCACTTAAAGTGGATTCTACTTTACCATTACTCAATTATTTCATAATTTCCCAAAGGTTTGCTGTAATTCCTTTAGGAAATGGGGGAAGTCAAGCTTTTTATAGGTTTTGGAAGGAAAAGTTAATTGAGCTTCTGTTTTCTTATGGATTGACGTCTAATCCCACATTGCTAACTTAAATTCTCAAGAAAGTTATGCAGGGAAGGAATGAGAAGGCATGTTACATCTGTTTTTGATGAAAGTTGAAGAGTTTTAGGATACTGCAGTGTAATGAGTTCAAGCAACTATGTAATAAGGGAGCACCTTTATTTTTCTTGTTGTGCCACATGAAAAATTTTTTATACAACCAACCATTTCACTTTTGTTTTTTAAGCGAAGTTACCTTCTCCCAATACATAAACTCATTCCAGTTCTTCTCTCCTTATCTCTCAATGATTATTTGTAAAATTTAATATTAAGATTTGTTCAAATTGGGAGGCATTTATAGCTATTAGCTCCCCTTTAGTTCTTTTCTTGTATTTATTTTTGTTTTGTTTTCACTCTCTTGAGAGTTTGTATCATTGAACATTTATGTTAATTTTTCATTTATCAATAAAAAGTTTGTTTCTTGTTAAAGGAAAAAAATGAAATATTAAGATTTTTCATATTTAAAAGCCTAAATATCACAAATTAGATAATCAATAAATTGTGTAATTACAAGCAACATACATGATGAGGGAGGCATGAGAAACTGGCTAATCCTAGATCCTTCTTCTGGATAGCATCTTCAAGGGAAGTGTGTAGCTCTATCTCTTCTTGCAACTTTTGTTGTAACCTTCTCACCTACAAAATAACATTTTTTTAACCTAACAATCAAACCAATTGGTAGCGCGCAAGCTGGCTCCGACACTCACAGATATAATATATATATATATATATATATATATATATATATATATATATATATATATAGGCCTGATGATCTTATAGAAATGAAGAGGGTTGGAGGATTTATTGAAGCGTAAAAAGTAACACGTCATAATGCTTTGCTAGTCTAAATGTAGGAATGTTGATGGCAAATCTATGATGATATATGGTAACAGAATATCCATACACAGGCAGACACTTACATCTTGTTCAAGCTGAAATCTGTAGGGAAAAGAACCATCATCTTTCTCCAGTAATCCAGCAGTCCCCGTCATTATGCCAAGATTGCTCTGCTACATTAAATCAAAACTCAGAAATAGTGGTAAATGTACTGCATAGATTATATTTTACAGTGAGTCCATGTTGTTCAAAAGCAAAAGATAACTAGATTAATTTACTCACTAATAGTAATAATGCGACTAGTGTTTTAAAGCAAGACCATTCAATTTAGAGAGAGACAGAGCGAGAAGAGGCAAAGGACACGTGAATTTATAATTAATGCCAACTAAAATAACAACATTTATACGCAATAAGGGAAGGAAAAAAGAAAGAATCTCCCTTCATCCATTCTTCCAGACAATACTAACAAAAATCTACCCATAATTTTTATAGAAAATGTCATCATGGTGAGATTTAAACTATGAAGTAGAAGTCAATGAAAGCTAGAAGCATTTTAAGATACGCTGTTCCCAAAGACTCCAACCATCCAAGTATTTAAAATAGTCTTATGTTCCAGAATGTAGCAAACTACAAGAGAGAAGAATGAGTTTACAAGATAATACCAATGTAAAGCAAGCTCCCTATTTCTGTACATAGAGCATAATAGTTACTTTTATCAGCTCAGTCCGAGGTTTAGTAGGTATGGCTCAAGGTGAAGGAAGCCTGCCTCGACCAGTTTACAGTTAGTAATTATCTTAGTTTGTGCCATATGGTCACCAGTAGTTTGCATCTGCAGTAGGCAGTTTTCAGACATTCACATTTAACAGAAACCAACAATTAGTAGGTAATGACAATTGTGTTTTCATATTCTTCATTTTGTTGGTATCTTTGTCTTTTTATTTTTTCTGATAAGTTCTGTTTTGCACCTAGTTGGAGTTCGGGATTAAAGACATTGGACTATTTGAGGCCTCTAACTCCATTTTATTATTCAGTTCTTTATAGACATAAGGTTGAACTATGTTAAATACTTTGTCGGGTCAATTTATCCACTTTTTTGTATTGAGATAATTTTTGTTGCTATGAACAAAAATGGTAAATCACTTAGGAGGCTAAAGTTCCTCTTCCTTTAATGAACCTGCATCAATCCTCTTCCTTCCCTTTTCTTTCTACTCAGTTACAGAAAACCATGTCCGTAACACCTTACCTCTGAAAACGAGTCAGCACAACGAAGCTCAACGAGATTTCCTGAATTAGAACTGCATCCAGAATGGGGATAATATCTGTGGCGTTGCATGGTAGAAATGAAAGAAAAAACATTAAAAAGGAAGCACCATTGAGCTCTGCAGAGAACAGAAGAAACGAAGAAGACGATACAGAGAGTCCAGAGGAAAGAGCATTCTTACGAGCAAAGTCCAGATTGAGCAGGTGAGTCCGACATGTCGGGTTCATGAGTTTCAATGGCCTTCACATAAAAATAGTCCAGAATCTCAAGCATCAGCAACGAAACTCATGCCAAAATAAGCAACACAAGTCCCATATTTCCTCCAAAATCTAGACTCTAGATTACCCACGTCTTAAACTAAGAACCCACAGCTACTGACCTCACATAAAATCAAAATCGAGAGGCAGAGACCAGAGACGCAGAATCATAAATGCACAGTAAAGCCCCTGTGAAGAGCCGATAGAATAGATACAAAAAGGAACTAGCCCCTCATGAAGGCACAGTTACGAGTCATTTTCAAAAGCAAAAGCAACGACCCATTTGAAGCATAATGAGAACCAGCGAACCTAATCAAACAATGTTTCGAAATCAAAGTCATAACCAAAAGCATTTTCAAGAGAAAGCCCAAAAAACTCAACTGATGTGATGGGTCTTCCGCGAAAATCAGAGCTGAGCTAAAAGCAAGAAATTATCAAGTTTTGTGGGAAAGTGGAGCTGTTCTTCCATTTTTCTCTGTTTCCTTTCCGCTTTTCGCAGTGGGGTGGTTTAAAGTTTTGAACTTGAAGCCATAAAGGTTAACAACATGATTAAATAATGTAATAAAGGAGCCTCCACTGTCGTAGTGACCCACTTCCCTCGTGTTGGAGAAAAGTCGGTGGCGTTTTGTGAATTATATCTCATCTCCTGATTAAAAGAGGGTCAAACGTCAAACTGAGATCTTTGAAGGAAAAAATGGATAAAGGGGTTGAAGCTGGAATAATTTTTATCAAATGTGTTCAATTTTGTTAAAAAGCAAGCTCTTTGAAGTAACAATTTTGATAAAAGAAAAAGTGTTAAATGCTGTAATATTTTTAAAATGTGAGTAGTTTGAATTATATTTTTAGTCCCATTCCATAGTTTAGTATGCAAATTTACAATTAATTACACAAAATGTGGAGGTGGGATCGAACTCACAACCTATTGATTTGTGATATATATAGCTCACTTTCACGCTTAAGTTTTATAATCTATTTTAGATATTAGATCGATGAGTGTTAATAAAGTTAATAGGATTGTAGATGATTTAGATATTCAACCAAATAAAAAGTATTAAATATGGAAAGATAGTAGAATGGATAGAAAATATTATTTGGGTGGAATGCTCTCATAAGAGAAAATCACAAAATAGTTACAAATACTTGAAAGAAATATAATTTAGACTAATCCTTGGAATTACAAACTCGCACAACCAATTATCCAATACCAACTAAAAATACATATATCCAAAATCTAAATAGATCATGATTTACACTGACACATTTTACTTTCTTTCGATATTCATGATAAATCACATCTTCCGACTAAGCTCGTTTTAGGGAGTCAGAGATGATTACATATTTAGAAGGAAAACCAAACTCAAAATAATGAAGACATTTGATTGTCCTGAGGTACCTTGGATGCTCTATTTGGAATGTTGATAAAAAACACATTAGATGTTATATTTACAGTTGAGCTATGCTTGTACTCTTTTTGTTGTTGGTAGTTTAAACTTCTATTAATACGTGCTGAACCAAACTTTTTCACACTATATGTAATTTTCACGACTAATTTCTCTGCGTATTATGTATTTATACATATGAGTTTTGTTTTGTATTCAAGGATCTTTATATAAAGTATAACTTGAGTTAAAGTTAGAAGTAAAGTTGAGATCAATGTTACGTAACACAACCGTACAAAAATTGGAAGTCATGACATATGTCTTCGAGTAAAAAGTTGAAACTTCAAATTTACGTATTTAAAAAATAAACAAAGAACAATATTATATAAGACAACTGACCTATGGTCAAGCCACATCGATCTCCAAACTTCTCGCAAATTAGATAAGCTACGTTGATCTCCGATTTTCTTAAAAACTAGACCGATCTAATATTGAGAGGAGATTCAAAACTTCTATAGCTTCTCTAGTCAAGTAGGAAACACTCAACATTATTCTATTATTGATAAAGAATACAAATTTGACTTTGAAATACAATATCTTATTAAATTTCAAATCTTGGAAGGCTTTTCTCAAATCTCACTTCAATAGTCAACAAATACAAATTTTGTGCCGTTATTTTCCCATGGTTGACTAATTTTCACTTTCATCAGAAGTTACCTTATTGGCATAAAAGTGTGTAATTAATATCCTAAAAATATGTGTAATTAAGACAGTGGAATTCAAAAATTCGTCTATTACTATTTTTATAATACAACTACAAAAATATCATATTTCATCTCATTTACGCAACAAATAGAAGAAATGGACCTCCACATTATTTTTAATACACTGCTGATGTGTCAAATAGAAAATAGAAGAGTATGATACTCCCGTAATACTAGAAAATTACTCTTTAAAACTTTTTCGTACTAAAAAAAGTCAACGACCTTATATATCATTAGCTTTATTTTCTTTTCAATTACTTTTTCGTCTATTTTAGTGTTTTGAGCGAAATCAAAATCATTTATCCTACAAAATTCACAAAACAATTCGGAGGTAAAAACAAGTTTACACTTTCAATTCAAACTTGGAATTGACAAATAGAGTTCAAGACTTGGGAGACATTGAAAATGCATTAAGCTAACAAAAAAAAAAATTCAAACTTGACCCTTCTAAATCATAGTTGGAATCAACCCAGTTTTTACAAATCACTGCTGCCGAAAAGAAAGAAGAGAAAAACCCCATTGTCGGATTCCACAATCATCGTACGAAGCAGAGGTAAAAGAAAGATTTTTCTGTACGACGCGTCTTGGAAGTTGAATCTTGACGGAGAAGAGGGCCTCTACGTGGCGCCCCTCCTGCGAGAAAGCTCATCAACACCTCAAAATTCCCTCATCTTCTTTGTGTGGTTGGGAAAATTCGAACCCATATACAGTTATTTTCCAGCTTCTACTTTCTCTTCCACGCCATCTCTATCAACTACCACTAATTCTCCCTTTCATTTTTGTCTGGGCTTCTTCCTTTTTCTATGGGCGAGAAACCAAATGGGTTGCTTTCATTTGCCAATCCAAAGTCCAAACGAATCCATGGCAATGAAACCGCTCGCTTAAGTCGTTTTTCTGCATATCCACATACTCCACTCTCAATCCTGAAGATTACTGAATCAGTCGGTGAAGTGAACCGTTGCTTCGGAGTTAAGTGGCTATGGAGGCAACTGGGGCGACGATATCTTGCGCCAATTTGAGCAGTAGCACACATCAGTGTAAATGGAGCCAGAGATTGAGACCCTCTTCGGAGCTAAGTAGAACGGTTTTCTTCCGCAATTCTTTCCGCAGCGGCAACGGGAGCCACTCCCGATCGCTGATTACGAGAGCCGCTGCTAAAAAGAAAACCAGAACGAAGAAAGCTACGGTTGCTGCTGATGAAGAGAAAGTCGCCGAGATCGCGGATTCAAATCAAGAGTTGCAGCAGCAAGCTCAGCCGCCGCAGCCGAAGATTACGTTGGACGATGTGAATCCGGTGGGGCTGGGGCGGAAGTCCCGCCAACTGTTTGATGAAGTGTGGAGGAAATTTTCTGGGCTGGGTCAGATCTCGAGGACCACCAGGATGGATGACAAGGAAACTCTTGATGCTCTGCTCATTAGGGAGGGGCCGATGTGTGAATTTGCTATTCCTGGCGCTCAGAATACTACTGTGCTTGTTGTTGGTGCCACTAGCCGCATTGGCCGCATTGTTGTTCGAAAACTTATGCTGAGAGGCTACAGCGTCAAGGTTTTACTTGATTTGCTTATTTTTATGTTCTTTTCAGCTCTCTTGCATTTCTCGCTACCCCCTTCGTCAGTGTTGAACTCTTTGAAAGTGTTACATTGTATAGAGCTGATATTTCATAGTGAATTTTGGGAACTGAGATTGCTTATCTCAGTGAAGCAGTTCTTCTCTGGCACTTTTGGTTGGTGCTTTTCTAAAATGGTTTTTGAATTTTAAAATCACTTCTCATCATCCAACTAGACACAACGAGAACTTTGATATATTTTCTTTTAATATCTGTGAGAGTTGAGAGTTCAAAGTCGGGTTACGTCCACCTCGACTAATCTTAGCAAACACCTGTTTGAGCCTAACTACTAGTCTAGCCACAGTGGTTTTTTTGAACAGTGCTTTAAATGGGTCAAAAACACTTCTCAACCATTCAAAATCATCAGGTTTGATAAGGTTTTCTTTATTGGTGGTAAGAGTTCAAGCACGAGGTTGAAAACTTAAGAACTTAAAACTTTTGTCTTTTTGGAGTTGGCTTGGGTAGATGAAGCAAGCCTCTTAGCTTTGTTTATGGTGTTTGTTGAAATTTATTTTTGATTGTGATAGCAACAATTTGAGACTCCTGCAACATGTGCCTGTGAGCTAACATATATGGTAATAAAATTTCATTTAAGTCGCATGGTTTAAGAATTCAATTGAAGGATCATTAGAGTTGGAATAAGAATTCAGTTGAGACAGTAGTTTAAGAACTCAAGAATCCTGAAAAAACCAACGATCCATTTGATTAAATCATGTTTGTATATGTCAAATTTAATGTTGGGGATTTCCTCAAATGCCCACAAAATATTCCAATTGAATCTAGGCACGATCTATTTTTATTCACTCAACCATTTTATCCAACTCAGTTCATAAATTCTTTATATTAACTGAGCCATCAATTTATCCTTGTGTTAAGCAGGCTCTAGTGAGGAAGGCAGACGATGATGTTGTGGATGTGCTTCCAAGGTCAGTGGAAATAGTGATTGGAGATGTGGGTGATGCGAATACCCTTAAGGCTGCTGTGGAAGGCTGCAATAAAATCATCTATTGTGCAACTGCTCGTTCCACAATTACTGCAGATCTCTTCAGGGTTGATCATCAAGGAGTTTACAATCTCACCAAATCATTTCAGGTCTGCCTGTCGGCATTCTAAAATCATAATCAAAAGTACTCTTTTTGACAGTGGAGTCATGAATTTGGGCTCGAGTATTTATGACTACATGTTTTTGCAAACGGCAAGTATTCTAAGAAATGACCACCACAGAAAAGAAACATGGAGAACTGGAATAGTTGATTATTACTTCTCATCCTGCATAATAAACGAATACTTCTTTATGTTTTTTTTAGTGGACTATTAATTGCATTTTAGCTGAAAACATGAACATCATGTATTGGCTTCTGTATTTCTTTTAAATGTCATACTAGCCGATTCAAGAATTCCCATGTTTGAACTTTGCTCTTTAGTCAGTTAGTGGAAACCCGATTTCCATGGAAGTACTTGGAAAAAGCTGATACCTGATGTAAATTGTAGGACTATAATAACAAGCTAGCACAACTACGAGCTGGAAAAAGCAGCAAAAGTAAGCTTCTGCTTGCAAAGTTCAAATCTGAGGAGTCATTGAATGGTTGGGAAGTTCGCCAAGGAACTTACTTCCAGGATGTTGTTGCTGCTAAGTATGATGGAGGCATGGATGCGAAGTTTGAATTTACTGAAACTGGAAATGCTGTCTTTTCAGGTAAAACTGATACATGTTGCACTATTCATAAGATATAGCTGGTTCATGGACAGCGAAAAGAACTTGTTTCTCCAGTGCAATCATTTTTCTCCAATTTTAATTGGGTTGTGTTGAATAAAAAAAGAAGAAAAAGAGAGAGAAAAAAAACAATCAACATGTAATGTTTTCAACTTTCACTGTAGGATATGTTTTTACGAGGGGAGGATATGTTGAATTGTCAACAAAGCTTTCCCTTCCCTTGGGATCCACTCTTGACAGGTTTCTGATTTACTTGCCTATTTATTATTTTTATTCCTGGTTAAGGGTTCATTTAAATAAAAGTACTAACTGCAAATCCCTTCATTTCTTCTATGTTTCATCACTAGATATGAGGGGCTCATTCTCTCTGTCGGTGGGAATGGAAGGTCTTATGTGCTAATTGTTGAAGCTGGTCCTTCAGCTGATATGACTCAAAGCAAACTGTATTTCTCAAGGTTTAGCACAAAAGCTGGATTTTGTCGGGTAAGAATCTCTTTTGCCAAAGTGTTATAATATTCTACAGATGCAGGCATCCAGAACAAATCTGTTTTTTCTAAGCTTTTATTTTCTGCCAACTTTTTTATATCACCATGGCAGAATACAGTTTACAAGATTACATCAATTATTGGCAGGTCAGAATACCATTTTCATCATTTCGCCCTGTAAAGCCTGATGATCCACCTCTAGATCCATTTCTTGTGCATACATTGACCATTCGTTTCGAGCCTAGGAGACAGGTCAGTGCGTCAACTCTGTCCTGGAGTTGCATTTTCTTTTATTCGGATTTTCTTGTTAAGTGCAGAAACATTATACCATTGAGCGGCATTGTTGTATGTTTGTTGTCCAAGTGCAGTTTGCTAGTATTTTCTGATTTTTAAATGATCGATGTTCCTAATTTATTAGGTTTTATTTAATCATGAAACAGATTTTCTTAAAAGAAAAATATTTTATCTTTTTATTCTTCTTCCTCCTTTTCCCATGAGCATGGTGCCGCTCGGCCCTCGGGTAGCTTCAATTCATGTGCTTAATATCTGAAATAACAGATTTTTTTTCTTTTTTCATAAAAATATTTTATCTACAAGAAAGAATTCATCCATGATATAACAAACTAAAAGTACATGTTTCCAGTGGCTACTAACTTTGTATTATTGTCTGCAGAGACCTGTTGAAGGATCTGCTTCAGGGGTAAATCAAGACTTGAGAAGCTTTAAACTCATATTGGAGTACATAAAAGCCTTGCCTGTGAGTTATTATAGGTGTCTCTATGTTATTTATTTCAATGGCCATTATTTGGCTCTTGTTTAATTTTCCTTTCAATTCAACGATTCTTCATATGATTATCAGACATTAAATAACGAGATAGGATTACAGACGCAATAATTTGTGGACTATTATATCAGCTGCAGTCTGAGTTCATTATTGCCAATGACTTGATCATTGATACATGAAACTTTTTGGTTATGATTAATAGCAATGGCCGTTATTTAGAAATCAAACTTGTTTCCTTACAATATCTTTATTTTGTTTTCCATCTTTTTAAAGATGCTCTTGAGTTCATGACCAAATTTCTAAAACATAATCAGATTTTTGTAAACTATGGTCTTGTTATCAAACATTTTTGTATTGGGCGGAACTTGGAAGTTTAACTACGTCATGTGCTTGATTTGTGCTATATTCTGCGTTTGGGTAGAAGCATTTACATATTTTCTTACAATAGCCTCCATAATAGTCAAATGGGTGTTTTACAGACTGGGCAAGAGACAGACTTCATCTTGGTTTCATGTACAGGATCTGGTGTAGAACCTACCAGAAGGGAGCAGGTTTTGAAGGCAAAAAGGGTATCTCTATCTTCTCATTTTGTACTATATTTTGCATTTCACTATTCAATGTTCATTCTAAAGTATGTAACTTCTTGCCTTCAGGCTGGGGAAGATTCATTGAGAAGATCAGGCCTCGGGTACACCATCATCCGTCCAGGTCCCCTCAAGGTATAGTTTTTGCATCACGTTTGAATTGATAATTGAAGTGAGCTTGTCGACTCTTAAAGGGCTTTCTCATTTCTTTAAAATTCGCAATATTGCGTTTCATGCAATGGATCTGATTTAACCTACACTACAGTAGATTAGGCTGATTAGAAAGTCATGGAAAAGATCAAACTTGGCTTTGATTTGCCATTAATATCCAGTTCACCTGTTCGGGTGGCCCTGGATATAGGGGAGCAAAGCTCAAACTCCCCGTTATCCCAAAAAAAAAAAAAATCAGTTCACCTGCACTGTCAAAACCAAATTAGACTGATGTTTGACCTCAAGCTAAAGTTTTTTTTTTTTTAATTGTAAACCTTGATAGCCCTCCCCCAAGGTTCTTAAAGTTAATTGCCGTGAAAGATGGACATTTGAACGTTGTGAAGCTATAACCTTGGTAATATCTGTGCGACAGTAACAAAAATGTGCCTTTCTCCTAGGGTGCACAATATATTAAAAAAAATAGACCAAACAGACCGAACCGACGTTGTCTACTAGGGGGGCTAGGGTTTGTAAAACTTGCTCCTGTCTGCATGCCTCTGTTTACTCCCTCTCATGCATCTCCCTCGCTCGCTTCATCTTCTCAAATCTCACCTGCTCCCCGTCCCTACTGCTCAGTTCTCATGCTGGTTCTCATCCCTCTGTTGGGTCTTTCCACACGCTACCACTCGTGTTATTCCTCTCTCATGCAGAAATGCACGCGGACAGCAAGTGCAGCACTTAAAAAACATTTTCAGTTTTGACCGAAGTGCACTGTTGTCGGTCGGTCGATGGGTTGGTTTCTTACATACAGTTCAAAAACTATTGGTTTCCTTTATACCAAAACCAACGGTCAGATTATGGTGTTAGTTTGCAAAACCAACGTATAGTGCACCCCTACTTTCCACGTTTCTGATGCTATGTTTTATCTTTGTGAAATTATATTCAGAGCATTTATTGAATTCACTCAATCGTATGTGCTGCAGAAATGTAACCGAACTTTGTTTTGCAGGAAGAACCCGGTGGCCAACGCGCACTTATATTCGACCAGGGAAACAGGATAACTCAGGTAAGGAAAATGGTGTTTTCCTAAGCATAGACGATCAAACTCAGTCCTTAGCTGGTTTACTGTTTCAACCTTTAGGCCATAAGCTGTGCTGATGTTGCTGACATCTGTGTAAAAGCGTTGCATGATTCTACCGCAAGAAACAAGAGCTTTGATGTGAGTAAAAAACTTCTCATTCATTGGCACTAGTGTTCATATCCCATGACCACCAAAGTTATACTGCTTCCAGGTATGCTACGAATACGTTGCTGAGCAAGGAAGGGAATTGTATGAGCTGGTAAGAAACCGAAAACATATCACCGCTAATTCTTCGTAAAGTTTCACTTTCTTCCTTTATACTTTAACTTTGAAATTATGTCTAAACCACGTGGGCTCGGGCTCACTAAACTTTTAACTAAACAACCATAGTAAAAGTAAAAAGTTTCTATCTGTGTGCAGTTTGCTTCTCATGTTGAAACTCTGAATTTGTCATATGAAGAGTTGGCATGTATGTTTGTGTTTGCAGGTAGCTCACTTGCCTGACAAAGCCAACAACTACCTGACCCCAGCCTTGTCTGTTCTAGAAAAGAATACATGATCTCATCACTCCAAAACTTTGTTACTTTCAAAGAGTGCTTCTTTTGGAAGTTGCCACTGAATACATATTTTACTATCCAGTATATAAAAGATGTACAAATTCATTCACTGTTTGCCAACATGGAGACTACTTTGATCTCTGATATTTCTCTTGGGAAGGAAGGGATGTAAAGGAAGTTTTATAACTTTTAACATGTATCAAGTTCATTCATGATGTTTTGGAGAAAATAATGATTTTATTGGAAAGAGAAAGGAAAGGAAATTTTATTTGTGTTCTCTTCGGTGTCTCCTCTCCTTGTAGTAAATCAATTGGATGTTCTGTCTTTATCAGAATCTCCAAAACATTTCAAATCGTGTCTAAGAGATTTGCGTGCTCTAAGAATTGGCTAATGAATTCATTTCCTTCCAATTCAAAATTCAATACTATGGTCAATAGGTTTTCTTAATTTTAAAATGTTCAACAAGTTAGAAAATTATTAAATATAAAACTGAACGTTGAAAGGCCTACTCTTTTTTTAAGTTGAAGGACATTAAAGTTGTATGAAAAAAAAATGATGTTATAAAATATTATATATTACAATAATAACCTTTTATAAAATTTATAACAAAATATGTTGTTTATTGATTTTGATTTCTAGGCATGCCTGGGTGTCATGTAGGTATCACAAATACCTACGTTTCTAAGCTTCTAATTATCTACACACAGAAATCTAGCATTGATAAGTGCTCTGTAAAATGCACTCTGATGCTTAAGTTAGAATTCAAATTCGAAGTAAAAGGATATGAATCAAATAAAGTAGAGGGGCAATAATCTCGAGCGCGAGTGTCAGTTTGAGAGTATGTCGAATTATTACAAGTTGTATCGGAAAAATCGAATTACTTTCGTTAGGATTGCTCTATTCCTTATATATGGAGAGAGAGAAGGGGAATGAGTTTCCATGTGAGTGGCAAACACATGAGGTGACATGTTGCTTGCATTGTGGGGACATCTCTCTTTCCTCCTCTGGTTATTCTTTGAGGTGTATCGCAATTTAAGTATAAGGTGTCAGCACTCTACCAGTTGGCTACCCAGGTGTGCTCTATCCTGAAGCTAATGTGCTCGACATTGGATTCAATCTTGTCGATTCAGCCCGCATGGTTAAACTTAAAGGTACATCACATCTCAATTTTACTCGATAACATTATTAATAAAATTTGAGAACATGAGTAAACACTAGTCTGAAACACATTATTATCACTTTTTTGGAATTCTTAACCAAATATAATTATAAAGTTAAGATCTAATTTCTAAATTTACTACCTAACATATATAATTATATGATAAGGAAAGGGGGTAATTGAACAAACATAGAAAATCAATGATTCTTCGACTAAAATAACGCGATTCTTGAAACAAAATGGGTGACTACTTATACATTGATAACTTTATGTTCTGTACAACTTTACAGAGTAGTTCACTTTGAAAAGAATGTCAAAAAAATTGTCCAAAAAGCCCCAGCAGCACAAATGAAAGAATGGAAATACCTACTTGGTCTATGCTTCTTCTTTGGTCCTATAACTTAGCATCTGTTTACTTGTTGGACTGATAAAAATACACATATATGAAGAAAGTACTCAGGGTTCATTAAGTTGTTCACCACCCATGAAAAGGGAATTTGACATTTTGGTTCAATCCCTTGGATCCTGACAAGCTTGATGCTAGGATGGTAAGTTTGCAAATGTTCATCACAAGAAATTGGTTCTCTTTGTTCTGCTTTTGAACAATGCAACTGTTCTCTATGATCACTTTGTGCTTCCTCGCCTACAACTGTTGATGGTTCCTCCTCGGTAGTTGACTTTTTGGGGAAAAGCTCGGGTAACAGACTCCTAACAGCATCATATAAGGTGAAGCACTTGCCTGCAATGCATAGAGATGAGGAAGAAAATCTCTGGATTTGTCTAGACAGGCTGAGTTATTCATGATTTCTTCTAAATGGCAATCGCCATATAGTGGTGCATCATATGTTTAGGAGGTTTTATGTTTTCTGAAGTACGAGAACTCTTAAATTGATTGTGAAAATAATCTATCATCCATCAGTACAACATAAATTTGATTGGGTAGTCAAATGTCATGATGAATAGCTATATGTAATTAGACTTTACCAAAAAATAAGAAAGCTAAAAACAATCTGTTTGATAACTATTTTTTTTAGTTTTGTGTTTTTAAAAATCAAGCGTATAAACACTCTTTATACTCATGTGTCTCTTTGTTTTGTCATTGTTAGTAACAAAATCTTATCCAAATTTTGAAAACTAAAAAAAAAACATTTTTTAAGAACTTGGTTTTGTTTTTGAAATTTAGCCAAGAATTTAAATGTATATTTAAGAAAGGTGATAAACATGCCAAAGAAATTACATGGGAGCAAACATATTTTTTTTAAATAAAAACAAAATCGTTATCAAACCAACTAAAATAAACAAAATAATGGTGTGAAATTTAATTGGTAAAGCATTTGCCATACCTTCTTCATTAATCTGTATAGGACGGTTGATGTATGAGACATCATCCCAATTATTAACTGGTGGTGCATCTTCTAAATCGCCAAGATCTTCACCAACATTCCTTACATACAATCGGACTGGAATTCGACCTAAACAAAAGCTTAAATAGTAAGAAACTTATACTAACAAGGAAATGATATCAAAAAGAGGGGTTAATAAACATTAGCCATGGAGAGAGAGAGTAACAAAGGTGAGTGCAAATTTAAAAAACATACACAGACCCATGTAAATTTGGATGGAAGTCCAATATCTGGAAACACACTACTTGTTTGACTTACAGAAGCATTAGAAAATTCTTTTTAGAATATTAATCACATATGGGGTGGGAGATTCGAATCTACACCCTCTGAGAAGTAGAGATGCCAATTGCTAAGCTATGCCCGCTCATATCGGCACATTAGTAGTTATGCGCCTTTCAAATAGAAGATCCAAGGCAGAAGAGTCCTGATTGGACCCAGAAAGGATTGAAATGGAACACACTGCTTGTGTGATTTACAGAGGTGTTGTCCTAAGCTGGCCCATACCCATATAAACCACCAAAAGAGAATCCATCAGAAATAAATAAAGAGTCTGCTCTCAACCACCTCAACAAAGAGATCCTTCAAAAGAAAGATAATACCACCAGAGTATCCATCTACATCTAAAGAGGGCTACGAGTTCGACCAGAGCTCCAATTAGATTTAACAAAATTTCTATTCAGCAACTGTTGTTTCGTTTCTATGAGAATCATAAAATCTGCGTTAGTTGACAACGGTTCTTTTTAAGATAAAAAACCAAAACCCCTCACATTTCAAATCAAAACAATAATTTGGAACAAATCTCCCCCCACTCCCAAGGGAAAAAATATCATTTAAATTTAAATTTCTATTCTTAATTTTGACTCTCAAAGATTCTGTTTGTACAAAAATAAAAGCAAGAATCAAAGCACATGGTTTGATGCGATGCCAAACCTTCAATGAAATATTTCACTTCATGGTGATTTCTTTTAAAGAATAGACAAAGAGAAAAATTTATTGGTATAATTACAAAATGTAACCATATGAAACAAAGGCAAAAGAGTCTACAGAAGGATCTCCAATATGCAAACTTAGATACAGAGGACATACAAAAGAATCTATTAGTAGGAGACCAAAGGGAAACTAAATGGTAATATAGTCCCAAACCTTGCAAAAACCTCTCGTTTTACTCTCATACTTCCCACCAATTTCCAACTTCTCATACCTCCAAAGGGAAACTAAAAGGTAAATGCATACCAAACCTCACAAAGTCCCTCCATTTATCCCCATACCCCATAAGATAAATTCTAACACGTATTAACTATAAGTACACTAATGCTTACTATATCTTCATGTAACCCAAAATGCATGAAGCAGAAAGTAAAGATCTTGAAGTTGATAAACATATAATATGCAGACCAAAAATGGGAGGGAGGGGAAAAGAAACAGAAAAGTAGAACCCTCTTTCATGACCTTTACTCCAAGAGTTCATTCTACACACTGCCATCCCATACCATATTTGGTGGAAGAATGCAGTATAAACAATACTCATCATCAAACTTTTGCTTGATAAATTGTACTTTAAAACTAAAAGTGCCTTGAAGTTTGTCATATATACCTGTTATTAGTTGTCCTGCTATATCCACCTCATCAGTATTTTGACCAGGTAAAGATACAGTTGATATAGATTTCAACGCGTTCTCGTGGGCAGTTCCTCCAAGCTTAAGTTTAGATGATATATGTAGGTAGGCTTCCAAATCACCTGCTAGAAAATAATATGGCCAGTGAGCAGGGTAAAAGTACAGAAAAACACATTATTAAGTACAGTGGATTATATTTTTAAATATTAGTTGTATTAGCTGTATATATTTATATTAATAATTACCTTTATCTTTTTAGTTTTTTTCTTAATATTAGATGGGAGACCTGTATAATTCGATTCATATCTAGATGGTGAAAAACAAATCTCAACTGTTTCTTACTCTCTTTCTCTTTCTTTGATCCATATATATACATAAGAAATATAATATTCCTTTCTTCCAAAAAATCAAGTAGGCCTATAGGATATCCGACGTTCATAACTATCATTACTAACTCCTTTACAGATCTCTATGTCCAAAAAAACACATTTACAAGACAGCTTCCACCACAATGTAAAGGAGTTCAATCAAATCTGTCATGCACACATAGTAGCTTGATATAGCTTAGTAGTAGATGCATCTTCATTTTCACTCAACCAATGCTTCTTTCTGGACATTAAAATATCTAAAGATAAAACATAAACATAGGATCTGCGTAAGGGAAATCTTAAAGCATATTGGTGTTTATAACCTTTGCTTAGTGGCAGGCTTATGTTCCGGACTCAATTGTAGTTCCCTGATTCCCTCTACCATTTACATAATGAGCTCTTTTAGCTTCTATTCAACTTCAACATTTATGTAGTGTACAAAGTGTTCGGTGACGGGAAAATGTAATAACATGTGAAAACTCAAGTGCCATTAAGCATATTGGTCGGACATTGTAAATCACGTCATGACCTCTAAATCAATAAGGAACAATAAAGAAATCGTCCAGAACTAAACATTGAACAATTGAAATAGGTTATGGTAAAATCAAATCCCACTCTCATGATTATGAGGAAATGATATATATTATGTACCACATACATATCAATGGAATCCATCAGAATAGTAGGCGCACACACCAATATAACAAGTCAATAGTCATAAATTGGAACGTGGATGGATTGATATTAACTATGTTAAATATATAAATACATATAATTTTTCATTGAATTAATGAACAGTTACAATGTAAAATAAAATTTAGAACATAATCTTGTACACCATTCCCTACACTAGAATTACTACCCATCCACTTAACATTTCAAGTTAAGTGGTAATTTGACAAAAACATCCAAATGGTACAAAGACCACAGTCTATCATCATCAGCTCCGATTAGTTAAAAAATAAAACCTTACTAATAATGTAGCATACTCAGAAACTACTTCATCAATTAAACTTCTCAAAAATAATTCTCCAACTGCTAGTATTTTCATCCAAACAGTGGCACCTTTATCGACTGCCACTTTTTACATTCTCAAAAAAACTGCATTCTAAAAGCTGGTCTCCTACCCATTTCTCTTCCCAAAAAATAATTTCTCTTTCCATAACCTAACTTCAACAGAATTTACGTTCCTGCTTTTTCAATAGAAACAGAAAATATTTTCATTCAAATCAATAAAAAGATATTAAAGGGAGGGAGAGCCCCTCTAACCAAGTAAGCTTACAAAAATATTCCTATTGGTGTAAATAAAAAAAAAAGATTTATTACAAGATTTCATTGGAAGGGTGCTCTAATTGGAGGCCGCGAAAAGTAACTAGATCACAAAATTACAGAAGTAAAATAAAATTTCATTGAGATCATCATTTCACGTTTAGAAATTACTAACTTAATTTAAAACGAAGGTATTTCTGTACTTGTTGGCATACCATTCAACACAGAACGCCATAACTCCACTAGATCAGGTTGAGACAGGCTCATAACATTCTTACTGCTCCCATTGAAAATGTAATCAGCCTGGTTATAATGAACTTCCCTTGGTCAAATTTGAGAATTCTCTTTCACCAAATATCATTAAATTACTGACTGTCAAATAAATTACACAACATGATAGTGGTCATATTAATAATAATGATTAACAATTAATAACAATAGAATCTTCAAGGAGACTAGTAGAGAATTTTATAGCCTTTGGGAGGTTGTTTAGCACACCACCTCCTCTCTGGCCAAATTCCACAGATTCTCGTATATGAGATTTTGGGAGGAGATGCCCTATCTCATGCTTAGTGTATCTTCTAAAAAAGGCATCATCTCCAAGATATACTTCGGGAAGCCTTACGATCAAGTGATTTTGGATTTTTTGGATGAGAACAAGATCATGTAGAAAAAAGTTTTTGGCTTCAAATGGAGAATGTAGGTGGGGAACTGTCTACAGTCAACTAATTTCTCTTGTAATCAACGGCCTACCAAGAGAAGATTTTTTCCCACTAGGGAAAGACAGGGTAATCCACCTTTGCCCTTCCTCTTCATTATTATGGCAGATGTCCTATGTTGGCTAATGACAAAAGGGGTGGGAAGGTATGGTATAGAAGGTGATATTCTTCTTGCAGAGATCATAACGATTTTGACAAGATTTAAAGGAAGTATTATCAACTGACCTCCTTTAATGAGTTAATAAAGCTCCACTTTATGCTTTCCTCACCTTCACAAGGAATCAACAACTGTTTTGGATAACCCCTAAAATGTACCTGCAAAAGAAGGAAAAAGAAAGAAGAGAGAGAAGATGATTTCCATTTCACATTTGACGCACAAAACATGAGAAAGTAAAGGCAATATCCTATTTCATATAGTTCAAAATACTCTTGGCTTTAGCCGACATACCCCAATAACCAAATTCACTTTAGAGAATAGATTTTTTTTAATAAGAAACCGAACTTTTCATTAAAGCAAATGATAATAGAAGCAAATACAAATGGCATACAAAAACAAAAGCCCAGAAGGAGGAGCCCTAACTAAAGAAAGGGCTTCTGATCCAAAAGAATAGAACCTAACTGATAATTACAAAACGTCTTCAAAATAGAATCCCACGACGAAACATTTAATCTAATGAGGTCCCAAACCGACTCTCCATCTCTCTCCACCCCCTAAATATTCTATTGTTCCTTTCCAACCAAATACCCCATAGAATCGCAAAGAAACAAGCCTGCCACAAAAACCACTCTTTCTCACGGAAATGAGGAAACAAAAACACTTCCTACACCATAGCTCCCCAGTCTCTATGACAAACCCAAGAAACCTCAAAGAATCAGCCCTAAAAATTCCTAGGGAATGGGAACGAGATCATGTAGAAGAATTTTCAAACCTAAAAGAATCTAGAAATTTGACTCAAAGATGGATGGGGCCGACAAGATGGTGGAGTGAGGAAGAAA